AGGAGATCGGTGATGGCGAGCACTGTGGCGTCGTCCCGCGCCGCCCACCGACTGGCCGCCAGCTGCAGCTTCTCAAAGCGAGCTTCCTCTTCGTCCGACGGGGAGGAACCTAAGGGGTCGGGTTCCTTCGGGGCTACGAGTTTGCCCGTGGCATGGTCCAGAAGGCGAACGTCGTTCTCGATCCTACTCCCTAGGAAAAGCTTGAGTTTGCGGAGCCATCCTGGGAAGTCTACCGGCATACCCTCAGGATCAAACGTGAGAATACGAGAAGTGGCCATGGGAGGAGGCCCTGGCGCGAGGGCAATGAACGGGCACGCTCGGGTGGGGTCTAGTACGTTTGAGAGCGGTACCACGTGGTTCAGTGAGGTGGATAGCGGCTGGTTACTGGTGTGGTGACGGGAACGGGTGGGGCAGCAGCTCTGGCTGGTACAGGTGGGGCAGTGGGTGCAGTTCTGTGCGGTGCTGCGTGGTTCTGTGCAGTTCTGCCCTGTTCAGTGCGGTGCTGCACGGTTCTGTGCGAGGGAGAGTACCGGGTGGGGTAGCAGCTCTGGCTAGTGTGGGTGGGTCAGCAGGTAAGGTTCTGGGCGGCGCCGCACGATTCTGTGCTGTTCTGCGCAGTTCTGTGCGGTTCTGCCCGGTTCTGCGCGGTTCTGCACGGTTCAGTGCGGTTCTGCCCGGTTCTGCGCGGTTCTGCACGGTTCAGTGCGGTGGAGAGTACGGGGTGGGGTAGCAGCTCTGGCTGGTGCGGATGGGTCAGCAGGTAAGGTTCTGGGCGGTGTCGCACGGTTCTGTGCGTTTCTACGCGGTGCTGTACGGTTCTGGGCGGGGGAGAGTAACTGGTGGGGCGGCTGGGACGGGTGGTACAGCGGGCACCAGGTGGGTCAGCGGGGACGGGTGAGACGGTACCGCAGCTGGCGGGCTGTACGTGCGTGCGGCTATTGCTGCGCGTGCGTGCAGCTATGGCCGCGCGTGCATGCTGCTAATGCCGCGCGTGCGTGCTCCTAATGCCGCGCGTGCGTACGGCTAATGCTGCACGTGCGTGCGGCTAATGATGCGCGTGCGCGCGGCTAATGCTGCGCGTGCGCGCGGTCGCATGTGCGGCTACGACTGCACGTGCGCATGGGCCTGCTGCGCGCTAGCGGGCTGGCGAGCTACGCACGGGGCAGAAAACGGGTGAGGCGCGGGTGAAAAACGGGTGACGCTCTGGGCTAAACGGATGACGCGCTCAGGGCACTACGGGTGACGCGCGAGCTAAGGGGGGGTAGCAGGGCGCTTCGGGTATTAAGTGGCTACGTTCCTAGGTCGGGGCACGGGGCGGTGGGCCCATAGGGTCGACTAGCTCTATACCATGTCAAGACTAGAACGGGTGAAAAGATTGACTAAGGGAAACGAGATACAAGAGGATATAGCTAACCCTAGGAATATGAAATGGTACACCTAGACTAACATAAACTAAACATATAAAATATATGTTGACATAGCAGGCAGCCGCTGCAGGAGCAGGCGGCGCACGGGGGTACGGGCGGCCTACGGGGCTGCTGGCGGGCGGCGCGCGGGCCGGCAGGAGCTGCGCGCGGGCTGCGCGGACGGCGAGCGGGTCGCGCGGGCTACTAGCGGGCGGTGCGCGGGCCAGCAAAGGCGACGCGCGGGCCGCACGGGCTGCTAGCGGGGCGTGCGCGGGACTAGGGCAGGGCAGGGCGCGGGGTAGCACGGTAACCGCAAGTGGTAGGTGGTGGGTCCGAAAAAAACGCTCCTAAGGTCCTAAGGACCTAATGCTCTTAATACCATGTTAGAGTAGGTAGCTAGGAATGGTGAAACTATCGAGAGAGTTTGGTACAAGTGAAAACCCTAAGGGGTTGTACCCTACATTGGCTACCCCACTACAGCCTACATAATCTAGCATACCATATACAGTTTGACAGGAGCAACTCATCCGAGCCACGTGCGACGACCCGACCACCTGGGAACAGCAGCTGCCACTCATCAAGTTCGCATAGAACAAGTCGCCATCCGCCACGACCCAACAGTCATCGTTTTACATGAACTACGGACAAGACCACACAGTACCCATGACCTCGAATCCCGACAACCCGGTGCCACGCGCGCAACAGTTCGCCGACATTTTACAAGCAGCACGGACACGAGCAGCAGCCGCAATAAAAAAAATCAAACATCATCGCTAAACGCGACGCCGACCTATCACTTACCAGCCCGACGACCTAGTCTTACTCGACACCCAGAAGCACCGCCTGCCCATCACCCCGAAACTCCGCCCCCGATATTGCGGGCCATTTCGCATCAGCCACATAATCACACCCGTCACCGCTCACCTCCTCCTCCCTGCTGACTGGTACGTCAGCCCGTCCTTCCACGTCAGCCTGCTTCGCCCTTACGTGCCATCCACCAGCTAAGTGCCTCGCAACCGCCCAGCCAGCATGACATGATCGCCGACCGAGCCAATCATCGCATCCGAGAAGATTCTGAGCCACCGAGTTCGTGACCCACGGGGAGCTCGAAGGATCGAATTTCTGATCCGCTGGAGAGACCGAACGCCCACTGAAGACAACTGGGTTCCCCTTGACGGAGTCGAGAATCACCCCGTCCTCACCGAGTATCTGCGCAGCCGAAATTTCCGGGATGTACACGCGCTTTCGTAAGGAGGGCCTACCTAGGGGGGGGGGGGGGGGGTAGTGTAAGGAAAAATCCTTTTTCCTTACTTCGCGTCCCTGCTCAGCGCGTACGCTACTGTTCCCGCCAACAGCACCCAACAGTAATCCGTTACCACTTGCGACAATCGCCTCGACACTGTTCCCGCCACTGTTCACGGTTCGGTTGGTAACCCGCGCTCCGGACCTCCGCCTCGACATTTCCCAACCTCGGCGCCAGGCCCGTCGCGCACCCCATTTTCACGCATTACCATTACCACTATAGTTTCGCTATATATTCTTCGCTCATGCCTTTCGCTGATTGTACTTTGCTTACGTCGTATCTCTAGCAAGTGTCAAGAGGGGCTAGTGTCATGACACCAACTCGAAAACACATGGAGTACTATCCCTCCTGGTGTCAGCTAAACCAACCAATGAGATCGCGGGAAATCGTCCAATGTGCCCAACATTGACACCAGGCTGGAGCCGCGCTCACACGCGGCTCCACTTGGTGTCAACCGTAAACGACGCTTGACACCAAGCCTTTCTTGACACTTGCTGGAGATACGACCTTAGATAGTGCAATTCTAGTTCGCTCACTCAATTGCACTCGTAACAACTGCACTGCACAGCCTCCCGTGCTTGGGGCGGTCTTTATCGAGCCTTTCATTTTGTAATGAGATGTCCGCAATTCGGCGCTGCACCACACAATCACAGGCTTCACATCAGAGTAGCAGCAATGGCCGCTCCTGGCAAGAGTCCCGAAGTTGACGCAACAAATACACGCAATAGTGTCCACGACGGGCGCAATGACCGCATGAGCAACATATCAGCCGAGATATACCAGAACAGCGGCGCCATACTAAATATGCCCTATACCGGCACCACTAGAAGCAGTTTCGGCTGCAGCGGCAGCCCATTCAGCATTTCCGATTCTCGTTCGTTGGACGAGCTTCCCTCCGACGTACTCCTTATAGTCTTCTCCTTCTTTTCCCGCGAAACCCTCGCGGCCTCCGCCGCTGTAAGCCGGAAATGGCGCCACTTGGCGAGCTCAGATTCGCTGTGGGAGGACCTGCTGCGATCCGAAGATCCCGAGGGATGGCCGATGGTGGTGTTCGCCGAAACGCAGCTGAGGCTCGGGCGAGGCAGCAGGTGAGGCTCGGGCGAGGGAGCAGGTGAGGCTCGGGTGAGGGAGCAGGTGAGGTGACATTGAGAATTCCAGAAAAACGTCGAATTTGAGTTGTCCTACTATCTGTTGTGCACGGCGAAGTGGGTGTGGCGAAACAGGAGCGGAGTGAAACGACAGCTGCCAGAAGCACCAACCCCACTGGACACCCCCATGCACGTGGCAGACCATATGGCAGTGAACTGGAGGCCAGACCCTCGGGAATGACGAGGTGCCGCGAGCAGCAGCAGATGCTGCTGAGGCAGTGCGGCGGCAGCAGGAGCGCGTGCCTGCCGTGGTGTGCCATCTACCGCCTGCGCGCCCAGCTGCCGCCCGCTGTCGTTGTCGATGGTGCGCTGCCCACGCCGCATCTTCCCTGCTCTCATTCCACGCCGCATTCCCCGTGCTCTCATTCCACGCCGCATTCCAGGTGCTCTCATTTTACCCACATTCCCAGCCTCTCCCCGCCTCTTTACTCTTATCCACGCCTCTGGACACCTCTCCTCGCCGCGCCATGCCTCTCCCCACTCCTCTCCACGCCCCTATACAACTTTTAATTGAGTGTGTGTGTGGGGGGTGGGGGAGCACAGGCGGGTCGGGGTACTGCAAGTTTGGCATGAGCAACGACGCAGCGCCATCAGGACGCATCGCCACCTTTCTGGTCAGTCCGTTTTGATAATTGTCTGAAGCACATCTGGTTTGCCACATGGGAGCTCCCTTCCGTTCTGCTTCTTACCGTTCGCTCTTCTTTTATTTCCTGCCATTAAGTACGGTCGCTCTCCCACCCACCACACTGTGGTTGCTGCCACCCAAACCAGGAGTTTGGAAACATCGAGGCACCTTCCCTCGCCCGCCTTCGAGCCCTCTTCTCCTCCATCTATGCCAGGTACTTAATGACTTCAGCAAACCTTTCAAGTGGTGCAGACATGCATGCAAAGGATGCAGGCACATGCTGTGCCTTGTGCCTTACCTTCAGTGCTCCTTGTCACATTCCCAATGTCACCCCTTTTTCCTTCCGTTTTATTCCCTTTATATCAATCCCTCCTATGCCCTTCCCTCCATTTCCCTGTCTTTCCCCACCATCTTCTTCCCTTCACCCGTCCCGTTCTTTGTTCTGCATTCTTGCTTCCCTCCATTTCCCTCTCTGTCACCCATGCTTCTTCCCCATCTATCTCCATCCGCCCTCACAGCATGCGAGCCATTCCCGCCAACCACCCTGTTGTCGTCTCCGAGCCTCTCGCTTTCCTGCCAGGTGACTCTCTCGTGCCACCTGCCAGCCCTGATGTGTTGTTTCTTTCCAAGTGCTTCTCTGCTGGCATGCGTCCACCTACAGGACAGCAGTGTTGCTAATCTGCAACTCATCATGCCTGCCTGCATTCTCAACGTGACATCCTGCCCTCACCCTGCCCGCCCTCCCATCCTCCCCGTGCCCATCTCTCCTCTGCACACACAGAAACGCGCGAGGCGCAGGAGGGGAGGCGGCATCTGAGGGAGGTGACATGTGCCGTGCTCTTCAGTGCCCTGCGCGTGCCCTCCATCTGCCTTGTCGACCAGGTAACCCCATGCGACCAGGTAACCCCATGCGACCAGGTAACCCCATTCCACCACGTAACCCCATGCGACCAGGTAACCCCATTCCACCAGGTAACCCCATTCCACCAGGTAACCCCACACTTTGATACCACATATGTCTACTTTAACTAGTTACTCCTTTAAACGTCCACTCTGTCGCCATCCCCACTCCCCCTCGCCCATCCCTTCTCCCTTCACCGTCTCATCTCTGTCATCCATGCCCCTCTCTCCTCCCTTCCCCTGCCATTGCCACCCACCCAGGCCACCCTGGCCCTGTTGGCAGCGGGGGCAGCATCAGGCGTGGTGGTGAACATTGGCTTCCGCAGCACCACAATTTTACCCATCATGCGAGGCCGCACCGCATGCAGCCTGCTGCCCTTCTACTGCCTGCCACTGGGCGCCATGCGAGTCACGGGGCACCTCAGCCAGTTACTGCACGATGCGGGGATCGTGTGCCAGTCCATGTTCACCGTGCGCACCATCAAAGAGGTCAGTTCTACGCAATCATTGGCCTACTTGCGTTACTGGAGGCGCCTACCTAGGTATGTTACTGGAGGCGCCTGCCTAGGTATGTTACTGAAGGCGCCTGCCTAGGTATGTTACTGAAGGCGCCTGCCTAGGTATGTTACTGAAGGCGCCTGCCTAGGTATGTTACTGAAGGCGCCTACCTAGGTATGTTACTGAAGGCGCCTGCCTAGGTATGTTACTGAAGGCGCCTACCTAGGTATGTTACTGAAGGCGCCTACCTAGGTATGTTACTGAAGGCGCCTACCTAGGTATGTTACTGAAGGCGCCTGCCTAGGTATGTTACTGAAGGCGCCTGCCTAGGTGTGTTACTGAAGGCGCCTGCCTAGGTGTGTCACTGAAGACGCCTACCTAGGTATGTTACTGAAGGCGCCTACCTAGGTATGTTACTGAAGGCGCCTACCTAGGTATGTTACTCAAGGCGCCTGCCTAGGTATGTTACTGAAGGCGCCTACCTAGGTATGTTACTGAAGGCGCCTGCCTAGGTGTGTTACTGAAGGCGCCTGCCTAGGTATGTTCCTGAAGGCGCCTACCTAGGTATGTTACTGAAGGCGCCTGCCTAGGTGTGTTACTGAAGGCGCCTGCCTAGGTATGTTACTGAAGGCGCCTACCTAGGTATGTTACTGAAGGCGCCTGCCTAGGTGTGTTACTGAAGGCGCCTGCCTAGGTGTGTTACTGAAGGCGCCTGCCTAGGTATGTTACTGAAGGCGCCTACCTAGGTATGTTACTGAAGGCGCCTACCTAGGTATGTTACTCAAGGCGCCTGCCTAGGTATGTTACTGAAGGCGCCTGCCTAGGTATGTTACTGAAGGCGCCTGCCTAGGTGTGTTACTGAAGGCGCCTGCCTAGGTATGTTACTGAAGGCGCCTACCTAGGTATGTTACTGAAGGCGCCTGCCTAGGTGTGTTACTGAAGGCGCCTGCCTAGGTATGTTACTGAAGGCGCCTACCTAGGTATGTTACTGAAGGCGCCTGCCTAGGTGTGTTACTGAAGGCGCCTGCCTAGGTATGTTACTGAAGGCGCCTGCCTAGGTGTGTCACTGAAGGCGCCTGCCTAGGTATGTTACTGAAGGCGCCTGCCTAGGTGTGTTACTGAAGGCGCCTGCCTAGGTGTGTCACTGAAGGCGCCTACCTAGGTATGTTACTGAAGGCGCCTACCTAGGTATGTTACTGAAGGCGCCTACCTAGGTATGTTACTGAAGGCGCCTGCCTAGGTATGTTACTGAAGGCGCCTACCTAGGTATGTTACTGAAGGCGCCTGCCTAGGTGTGTTACTGAAGGCGCCTACCTAGGTATGTTACTGAAGGCGCCTACCTAGGTATGTTACTGAAGGCGCCTACCTAGGTATGTTACTGAAGGCGCCTACCTAGGTATGTTACTGAAGGCGCCTACCTAGGTATGTTACTCAAGGCGCCTGCCTAGGTGTGTTACTGAAGGCGCCTACCTAGGTATGTTACTGAAGGCGCCTACCTAGGTATGTTACTGAAGGCGCCTGCCTAGGTGTGTCACTGAAGGCGCCTGCCTAGGTATGTTACTGAAGGCGCCTGCCTAGGTGTGTTACTGAAGGCGCCTGCCTAGGTGTGTCACTGAAGGCGCCTACCTAGGTATGTTACTGAAGGCGCCTACCTAGGTATGTTACTGAAGGCGCCTACCTAGGTATGTTACTGAAGGCGCCTGCCTAGGTATGTTACTGAAGGCGCCTACCTAGGTATGTTACTGAAGGCGCCTGCCTAGGTGTGTTACTGAAGGCGCCTACCTAGGTATGTTACTGAAGGCGCCTACCTAGGTATGTTACTGAAGGCGCCTACCTAGGTATGTTACTGAAGGCGCCTGCCTAGGTATGTTACTGAAGGCGCCTACCTAGGTATGTTACTGAAGGCGCCTACCTAGGTATGTTACTGAAGGCGCCTGCCTAGGTATGTTACTGAAGGCGCCTACCTAGGTATGTTACTGAAGGCGCCTGCCTAGGTGTGTTACTGAAGGCGCCTACCTAGGTATGTTACTGAAGGCGCCTACCCAGGTATGTTACTGAAGGCGCCTGCCTAGGTGTGTTACTGAAGGCGCCTGCCTAGGTATGTTACTGAAGGCGCCTACCTAGGTATGTTACTGAAGGCGCCTGCCTAGGTGTGTTACTGAAGGCGCCTACCTAGGTATGTTACTGAAGGCGCCTACCTAGGTATGTTACTGAAGGCGCCTGCCTAGGTGTGTTACTGAAGGCGCCTGCCTAGGTATGTTACTGAAGGCGCCTACCTAGGTATGTTCCTGAAGGCGCCTGCCTAGGTGTGTTACTGAAGGCGCCTGCCTAGGTATGTTACTGAAGGCGCCTGCCTAGGTGTGTCACTGAAGGCGCCTGCCTAGGTATGTTACTGAAGGCGCCTGCCTAGGTGTGTTACTGAAGGCGCCTGCCTAGGTGTGTCACTGAAGGCGCCTACCTAGGTATGTTACTGATGGCGCCTACCTAGGTATGTTACTGAAGGCGCCTACCTAGGTATGTTACTGAAGGCGCCTGCCTAGGTATGTTACAGGCTCCCCTTTTTATAATTCTTCGCGTCCGTGCCCTCAGTTTCTCATGGCTCACAGGCTCTCGCAATAACTTTCAGCACCCAACTGCATCATGCGTTTTACCCCAACCCCCTCCCCTGCCTGCAGTCGCTGTGCTTTGTGGCGCGGGACTTTGAGGCGGCGATGAGGGGCGAGGAGAGGGGGGTGCGGGGCACGTGTGAGGTGCCGGGGGAGGGCGCCTTCAGTCTCGCCAGGGAGCGCTTCCTCGCCCCTGAAGTGCTCTTCCAACCTCAGCTCTGTGGCCTGTGAGTTCAATGCTGTGAATGCTGTCGATGTGGCTAATGGGGGGTCATAGCGGTGCCAGAGGAGGGCTCCTTCACGCTCCGCACGGAGCGTTTCCTCGCCCCTGAAGTGCTCTTCCGACCATCGCTCTGCGGCCTGTGGTTCAATGTGGTCAAGGCGGTCAATGAATTCAATGTGGTTCAATGTGTTTCTCTTTCCTGTGTTCCTGTGTTCCTCTGTTGCTCTGCTTCCTGCTGCTGTGAGTGCTTCCTCTAAGATATCGGTATGGACATTGTTGCCGAATCATGCCTCCCGTGTGCTCCGCTCGCTTCTCCATTCCTCTCCTGCCTTTCCTTAGTTTTCCCCCTCCCACTCGTTCTGCCCTCGTCCCCTCTGACACGGCCTCTCCGCCCTCTCAAACCCCAACCCCCCGCCTCCCCTTCCCCTCCACCAGGGGCGGCAGGGGCATACAGCAGGCAGTGGCGCAGTGCATAGTGGAGTGTGCCGCGCGGGTCAAGGCGTTCCAAGCCCAGCAGGACTGGAAGGCCCGGCACAGCCATGCGGGAGAGGCGCCGAGTGCGGAGGAGAAGGGGGAGGAGGAGGGGGAACGAGTGCCTGGGGAGGGGCCTGGGGCGGAAGGTGCCACGAGGGGGATGGGAAGGGGGGAAGGGGCAGCAGGGGCGGGTGGGGGGGTGTGGGGGCGAGTGCCTGCGCCGCTGTCAAGTGAGGATGTGGCGGAGGCGATTGGCACCGTGGTGGTGGCGGGAGGCACGTCTGCGCTGCCAGGGATAGCAGGTGGGCCCTGTGTTCCTTCGTAGAGCCTCCAAGTGGGAATGGGGAGGGGTTTTACTATGATGTATCTCTCTGACAAGCCTTCCTGCATCTGTTCTGCTAACCTGATTTTCCTTTGCTGTCTTCTTCTGTGCCTCATCTGCTCCCATCGATTCACCCCCGTTGGTCCCATTTGACAGCGCGGCTGCATGTGGAGTTGCAGCGCCTGCTTCCCCCGCCCCTCGCTGACCGACTCTCTGTGAAGGCGGTGGGGCCGTATGGCGCGTGGATGGGCGGCAGGACTGTTGCCACTGTGAGTGTTATTGACTGTGACTGATCACTTTGTTACGACCGTATGTGTGACTGATATAAATGATCCTTCTAATTTTTGTTTCTTCTTCCTGTGCTTTTTGGAGTGCAGACAAGCTCTTTTTTATCAGCATGGGCGCTAAGCAGGGAGGAATATATGGAGAAAGGACCGTCTTCTGTTCATGCCCTTGCGATGGATACGCATAACATGAACAGCCAGGCTCTCCCTGTTGTAAGAATATTCCCCAAGCCTTGATGAAGAGCGCAACATATGGTGAAGTGTGATATTGCTACAACGTTTTCATGAAAGGCTGTAGCTATTATATGTGTGCTGGTTGTCTTCAAATAATTTAGTGGGAACGGTTTTCTGCATGTAGTCACCAGTTTTCGAGGTGTAGCAAGTTTACGACTATCGAGGCAGATTTGCAGGGATTGCCAGCTGCGCTGATTCGCGTCGCGCTGACATGAAGCTACTCCAATCGGTGCTAACATATGTTCTAGACTCTGTCTCGCAGCTTTTAGAATGCACCGCTCAGTCTCCCATCCTTGCAGCCGTTATCGATCCATGTGTCTCAAATGATGTCCGTCATTCAGTCCTGAAGCTCGTCGTCGCTCACATCAGAGTAGCAGCAATGGCCGCTGCTGGCGAGAATCTCGATACTGACGCTATGAATGCTCGCAGAAACGATGACCTCACGAGCACCATATCAACCCACATCCACCAAAACAGCAGCGTCATTCCAAGTATGCCTCTTACCAGCAACAACCCAGTCAATGGTTCCGATTCTCGTGCGCTAGACGAACTTCCATCCGACGTACTCTCTATAGTCTTCTCCTTCCTTTCCGGAAAATCCCTCGCCACCGCCGCTGCTGTTAGCCGGAAATGGCGCCACTTGGCGAGCTCTGATTTGCTGTGGGAGAACCTGCTGCGATCCGAAGATCCCGAGAGATGGCCGATGGTGGTCTTCGCTGAAACTCAGCTGAGGCTCGGGCGAGGGAGCAGGTGAGGCTCGCGCGAGGGAGCAGGTGAGGCTCGGGGGAGGGAGCAGGTGAGGCTCGGGTGAGGGAGCAGGTGAGGCTCGGGTGAGGGAGCAGGTGAGGCTCGGGCGAGGGAGCAGGTGAGGCTCGGGCGAGGGAGCAGGTGAGGCTCGGGTGAGGGAGCAGGTGAGGCTGGCGCGAGAGAGCAAGCGATGTGACATTGAGAATTCGCCGTCGAGTCTGAGATGCTATACCACCATGTGTGAGATGCTGTACTATGTGTCTTGAAATCCTTACTTGAGTGGCGAAGCGGGTGAGGCGAAACAGGAGCGGTGTGCAGTGTCAACCCAGGGAGCACGAATGCCAGACGCACCAACCCCATGGGACAGACCGCACCTGCTCTTCTGCCCCTAGTGCCATTGCCTGTCCCGTCCCCACACTCCCCCGTGCACCCAGCAGGTCAAATGACGGCGAATCTCAGGGTGGCCTGCCATGGTGTGCCATCTACCGCCTGCGCGCCCAGCTGCCGCCCGCTGTCGTTGTCGATGGTGCGCTGCCCCCGCCGCACTCCCCATGCTCTCATTTCACCCACATTTCCAGCCTCTCCATGCCTCTCCACACTTCTCCACCCCTTTTCACGCCTCTCTATGAACTCTGGTGCCCTGACATCAAATGTATGTGTGTGTGTGGGGTGGGGGAGCACAGGCGGGTCGGGGTACTGCAAGATCGGCATGAGCAGCGAGGCAGCGCCGTCAGGACGCATCGCCACCTTTCGGGTCAGTGGGTGCCTTTCGAGAGCGATTTCCGCTTCTCCAGGCTTGCTCTACTTTTCGTTTCCTGTCTGTAATGTAAGGCCATTCGGCTCACACGTGTCTCTCTCCCACCCACCCACACGTGTCACCACCATCCGACCCCTCCAGGAGTCTGGAAGCATCGAGGCACCTTCCCTCTCCCGCCTGCGAGCCCTCTTCTCCTCCATCTTTGCAAGGTGAGGTCAGCACGCATGCTATATGATGTCAGCATGCCTTTCAAGTGGTGCAGACGTGCGTGCGTGCAAAGCATGGGGCCACACATGTCGTGCCTTGTGCCCTAATGCGGTGTGCTCCTTCTTGCCGTGATCCCTTTGTCACCCCTTCCTTTCTTCCCTCCTCACACCCTTCCTAATTTTCCACTTCCGTTCGCCCCTTGTTTTCCTCTTCCGCTCTTGCTTTTCCCCCTTTCCTTTCCTTCACCCCTCTACTCCCCCATTCCGCTCGTACCTCCTTTCTGGCGTTCCTGCATTCCGCCTTTCCCTTTCCTGTCGTCCATGCATCATCCCCGCCCGTCACCATCCGCCCTCACAGCATGCGAGTCATTCCCTCAAACCACCCTGTTCTTGTCTCCGAACCTCTCGCCTACCTGCCAGGTGACTCTCTGCTGCCACCAGCCGTCAGATTGTCTTTTGGTTCCTGCCAGGTGGTGAGCTGTTGCTCCCTGTCAGGTGACTCTCTGTTGCTCCCTGTCAGGTGATTCTCTGTTGCATACAAACATCCTCCCACGCAACAGTATTCTCGCTGGTGTGCACGTCACTAGACTATAACTCTCAACGTCACATACTACCCTCACGCGCCTCGCCCTCCCTCCTTCCGCCGTGCTCATCTCCCCTCCGCACGCACAGAGACACGCGAGGCACAAGAGCGGAGGCGGCGTGTGAGGGAGGTGACATGCGCGGTGCTCTTTAAAGCCCTGCGCGTGCCCTCCATCTGCCTTGTCGACCAGGTAACCCCGCCTTTTACCAGATATGCCTACCTCAACAAGGTAACCCTAATATTCTTCTTTCTATTGTCGATTCTCTCATCGCCCCGACTCCTCCTCCCCCATCCCTCTCCCTTCCCTGATTCATCTGTGTTGTCAAAATGCTCCTTCCCCGCCCCGTTGCCACCAACCCAGGCCACCCTGGCCCTGTTGGCAGCGGGGAGAACATCAGGCGTGGTGGTGAACATTGGTTTCAACAGCACCACAATACTTCCCATCATGCGCGGTCGCACCGCCTGCAGCCTGCTGCCCTTCCACTGCCTGCCGCTGGGCGCCATGCGAGTCACGGGGCACCTCAGCCAGCTGCTGCACGAGGGGAGGAGGGGGGGTCTGTCCATGTCCACTGTGCGCACCATCATGGAGGTGAGCTCTCTCGTTTCAATTGCCTTGTATCAATCACCTTGTATCAATCACCTTGTATCAATCGCCTTGTATCAATCACCTTGTATCAATCGCCTTGTATCAATCACCTTGTATCAATCACCTTGTATCAATCGCCTTGTATCAATCGCCTTGTATCAATCACCTTGTATCAATCGCCTTGTATCAATCACCTTGTATCAATCGCTGCCTTGTATCAATCGCCTTGTATCAATCGCCTTGTATCAATCGCCTTGTATCAATCGCCTTGTATCAATCGCCTTGTATTATCAATTACCTTGTATCAGTCACCTTGTATCAATCGCCTTGTATTATCAATCACCTTGTATCAGTCACCTTGTATCAGTCGCCATTTATCAATCACGTTGTATCAATCACCTTGTATCAATCACCTTGTATCAATCGCCTTGTATCAATCGCCTTGTATGAATCGCCTTGTATCAATCACCTTGTATCAATCACCTTCTACTGCCTGCCGCTGGGTGCCATGAGAGTCACGGGGCACCTCAGCCAGTTACTGCACGAGGGGGGGGAGGTGGGTCAGTCCATGTCCACTATGCGCACCATCATAGGGGTTTGTCCCACAAAATCAGTGGCCTTGCATCCAAAATTTATTCTCCTTTTTTTCTTTGTAATTCCTCCCGTTTCCCCCCTTAGTTCCTCATGGCTCGCAGCCTCTTGCAATAACTTCCTGCGCGTCTTCATTCCGCACCCCACTCCTTCCTGCTTGTCACCCCAAACCCCTCCCCGCCTGCAGTCGCTGTGCTTTGTGGCGCGCGACTTTGAGACGGCGATGAGGGACGAGGAGAGGGGGGTGCGGGGCACGTGTGAGGTGCCGGGGGAGGGCGCCTTCACTCTCGCCAGGGAGCGCTTCCTCGCCCCTGAAGTGCTCTTCCAACCTCAGCTCTGCCGCATGTGCGTCCTCCCTGGTCAACGTGGTCAACGTGGTCAGCGTGGTCAACGTGGTCAGCGTGGTCAGCGTGGTCAATGTGGTCAACGTGGTCAACGTGGTCAACGTGGTCAACGTGGTCAACGTGGTCAGCGTGGTCAGCGTGGTCAACGTGGTCAACGTGGTCAGCGTGGTCAACGTGGTCAACGTGGTCAACGTGGTCAACGTGGTCAACGTGGTCAGCGTGGTCAACGTGGTCAGCGTGGTCAGCGTGGTCAATGTGGTCAACGTGGTCAACGTGGTCAACGTGGTCAACGTGGTCAACGTGGTCAGCGTGGTCAGCGTGGTCAACGTGGTCAACGTGGTCAGCGTGGTCAACGTGGTCAACGTGGTCAACGTGGTCAACGTGGTCAGCGTGGTCAGCGTGGTCAACGTGGTCAACGTGGTCAGCGTGGTCAACGTGGTCAATGTGGTCAACGTGGTCAATGTGGTCAACGTGGTCAGTGTGGTCAACGTGGTCAACGTGGTCCCGTTGTTTTATCCTGTGTTCGCATTCTTGCTCCTCTCCTTGCTGCCAACGTGCTCCCTCTGTTACAACCGCATTGTCACTTGTTGCCATTCCCATTGATTTCCCTCATTTTTCTGTCTTTCTCCCCACTCATGCGTCCTTTACACCCTCTCAAACTCCCCGTGCCCCCTCCCCTTCCCCCCACCAGCGGCTGCGGGGGCATACAGCTGACAGTGGCGCGGTGCATATTGGAGTGTGTAAAATGGGTGAAGGCGTTTTTTAAGGCCAGACACAGCCACGCGGGAGGCGCAGCGGCTGCAGAGGTGGGGGAGATGGCGGAGGAGGGGGGAGGAGCGCCTGGGGAGGGGCGTGGGGGTGAGGGTGCCACGAGGAGGATGGGAAGTGGGGAAGGGGCAGCAAGGGCGGGTGGGGGGGTGTGGGGGCGAGTGCCTGCGCCGCTGGCAAGTGAGGATGTGGCGGAGGCGATTGGCACCGTGGTGGTGGCTGGAGGCACGTCTGCGCTGCCAGGGATAGCAGGTAGGGGCTGTGTGAGGTGCTCCTTAATAGAGGCCCCAAGTTGGTTTTCAGGTCTATATATATTTTCACAAATTCCTTCTTATCCCTCTTTTTTAGCCAACTTAACATCCCTGTTTCCGTCCGCTTCTGCTCATCGGCTCCTTCTTCTTCGCTCCCCCCCTTCCGTTGGTCTGCTTGACAGAGCGGCTGCATCTGGAGCTGCAGCAGCTGCTCCCACCGCCCTTCACCGGCCGACTCTCTGTGAAGGCAGTGGGGCCGTATGGCGCATGGATGGGCGGCAGGACCATAGCCACTGTGAGTGCTGCTGGCCGTTATTGTGTCACTTCGTTACGACCATATGTGTGCCCGATATAAATGTTTCTTTTTGTCTCTTTTTTCTTTCGTGTGCGTTTTGGAGTGCAGACAAGCTCCTTTTTATCAGCATGGGCGCTAAGCAGGGAGGAGTATATGGAGAAAGGACCGTCTTCTGTTCACGCCCTTGCCATGGATACGCGTAACATGAACAGCTAGGCTCTCCCTGTTGTGGGAGTATTTCCCAAGCCTTGAATGAAGTTACCGTATTGAAGTTATTTATAGCACATCATTTGGTGCTGTAATACATGAATGAAGGACTGCAGAACAGATGTAGCTGCCCCCCTGATGGTTCAAGCATGCTATGCAACACATGCAGCAGAGCACAGCACTAAGCAACAAGCATGGAGTAGATGGCATCAGACCAGGCATCAGGCACGCCCGGCAAGCACCAGTGGCTGCAGTCCTTCCTCCTGCCACTCACCCCCCTATTCAAATGCCCATCTGGTCGCAGCATGCTCATGTATGTTATTTCCACCAGCCGCATCCGAGACCTTGCAAGCAGCTTCCGCTGCTCCTTTAGAACCGCCATGGCACGGGTATCGCCCCCTTGGATTGCGGCGGTGATGTTGTTTAGAGGAGTGCCTGCCGTTTTGCACTGGGTGCGGTCGTGTGCCAGAGAGTAGGAGACAAAGAGGGGGACGCCAGGGTAGTTGGTGCGCTCGATATAGTCACGCACTGCCTTGAGGGACTTGCGCAGCTTCAGTACCGGCGACATGTAGTTCTGTGAGGGGTGGTCAATGGGTTTAGATATATATACCAGTAAGAATTGATTCTCGTGGAGAGGGGATGGCATGAATTGGATACGTTTGTGTGTGTAGAGAAACTGGGGGCTGATATATAATGAGCATAGTATCCATGAAACAAGCAGAGCAGCAGCAGCCAAGAGGATGGGGCAGAGTGCTGGCAAAACGAACAGGAGGGGTGGGATGGGAGGTATGGCAGAGGAGGATGGCAGGCGCTGCTCCGTGTGAGCAGCAGACCTGGTGGAAGAAGCGGTGGCCCGCTGTGAAGACCATGGCTGCTGTCAGTGGCAGTATGGCCGCCCACTGCCCGTCCACCCTCACCCTCGCTGAACTCTGCTTGCAAGAGGGGAGAGAGAGTGGGGGAGATGCGCGGCGGGAGGAGAGGAGAGACGCGGACGGAGGACGAGTTTTGCAGAGGGGAGAAGTAGTGTGAGCGGGGTAAAGTGACACTGAGGTGACTAAAGAAGCAGGCGCATGGGACAGGTGAGTGGGGCTCCAGCAGAAGGCATCTTGCGTACCGAGTTGACGAGGCGGGTGAGCTTGCCACTGGCGATGGTGACGAGGGTGAGGTTATATGCCGGCAGCTCCACTGCGTTGCGGTACCGCCTCCCCCCCACCCTCACCCGCACGTGCTGCCAGCGCACGGGACCGGGGACGGGAGATGAGGGGGATAGAAGAGGGGGGAAGGGGAGGAGAGGGAAGAAGAGAGGGGGGAGTGAGGGGTGGGACGGTGCGGAGTGGGCAGGAAATGGGATGGTGGAGCAACCAGCAGACAGGTGCGTCACCTGTGCAGCGGCAGCAAGGCAGTGTATTGCATTATTAAGAAGGAACATCAGCAACGACAATGTGGGGTTCGTAACAAGGTTGCTCTACCTCGAATGTTCCATGTGCGTCAACTTGCAAGGGGACCCAATTCACCCCCAATGCAGGATACCTCGGGTAACCCACAGCAAGTTCCCTTGATGTATATCCAGTGGATATAGTCGGACCTCGTGGCCGTGTTACCGGCTCGATCTGCCTCACAGAATCCCTCCCGCACGCAAAAGCTACCGCTCACGCCACAACCCAGGCTTCCTGCGCTCAAGGTGACTCGACTCTTCTCTTTTACGAGGCAAAGCCTGTCCAGTAGTACCTTCCCTTGAGGTAGTTGCAACCGCGATGCGACCGCGAGCGCGCGACCAGCCGCGAGTGCCGCTGAATGGCGGCGAGGCCCAGCGGGCTCACCGCGACGGCCGCCGGGATGGGCTGAACGACAGATAATGCGACGAAGAGAGCGACGCTTAACGACTGCGCTGTGAAGCTTCGATGAACCATCCCTACCACTGGCTTCGATAAGGCGAGCCCTGGCTGCGCTATTAGCCCGCCATGTCGTTATATTTATCGCGGCCCTTATTCGTTACAAGGTCGCTATATGCACCTGTTCCAAGAGGCCTCAGCTAGGAAAAGTCTAGCTCAAGCGCCAAATCGAATGAACGCATATCAAAGAGCGCTCCAGGAATGGAGAAATGGAAACGAGATTACAGACGACACGGGTTCACTTCTGGTCCAACCAATGTAGCGACGCGCGATGAGATGACGGCGGCGGTTCGTCTTGACTTTGGCAGCAGCGTCTCAAGCGAATTTGGTAACCAATGTCGCCTCTATTCCCAAAGGAAATGCTCGTACAAGGGCATCGTAGCAGAACGGAGGAGGACCAGAATGTAAAAAACAGCTGAAACAATAACGAAGACATTCCTAGCGCCTTAGTCGGCAATAGTCTACTTGCTATTGCTTATCGTGTTCTCCACGATCACCCGATTCCAATGATATGCGCAGCTCTGCTTGAAGTTGTCAATACACACTTCAGCAATTTTCAGAATCTCCAAGTTATGTTTTCCAGAATGAGTACAAGCAGTTTTATAGTCAAGCAAGTCACAAAATGCGATTCGTAACTTCACTTGTTTCCCAAGTAACCCCGTGCGCCTCGTTTCACCCCGAGTCGCACACGGAACCGAACTGAATGCACCGAACACTCCTCAAGTCCGAATCTGGAACCTTCTCGAACACGCCTCGAGCTCGTACCACAGTTTCCCCCGTCGATCTCATTCTCGATACTTCTCTACTCTTCTCCTCCATTTCTCTAGTATCTTCCCGATCTCTCTCCCGCTTCTCACGCCGTAGCTTCCAATATCCACCGTAGGCCGAATTCCACCGTTTCATTCACGAATCATCTACGCGCTTCCATTTCGCCGTCATCCCGCCGTCGTAGAGACTTTCGCCGTAGGTTCCGTGGTTGGGCGAACCAACCCTAACAATCTCCCCTGTGGCTCGTCAACCACGAACTCTACTCGCACTCCTCCCCTGCTCCTGGTAGCCTTCACAAGGTCTAAGTCACCTTCACACTCCCCTGCAGCTCCTGCACCTTGAACCTCTGCTTACGTGTCTTGAAGTTGAGCGCCTTGACATCCAAACCTTGAGAGATTTTCTTAAGCTTCTCACTTCTCCTCGGCATCTTAACACCCAACACATCTCGGGTCTCGTACCCCTTAACGTGTTCCTCCTTCGTAAGCACTCGCCCCTTTGCAGTTGCTTTCACCTTTGATCCCTTCACCATGATGTCCCCTTTCACAGCTTCGACTCCCACACACTTCGCATTTACTGCTTCGACCTCAACCACAATCGCTGCTGCAAAAGTGTTGACACCATCTCTATCGCCACCATTCACTGCTGCTGCCTCCATGGCGACTATCTCCTCTTTCTGCTTCACTGCTGCCTCCACACTCGCTGCCGTATCATCCGTGTCCTCACTCTCATCAACCTTAGTCGATAACTTCTCCAATTCTCCCATTTCACCATACTCAGGATCCTCATAGATCTCATCCATATCATTCGTCGCTATCACGTTCATCTCATAAAATCCGTCACTGAAGTAACCCTCTGCGTACTTCTCCCACTCAGGGCCAAACACTGTAACCTTGCCACTGTCATAAAATATCTTGCACCCCAAGTCATCAAGCTGTGACTGACTCATCAAGTTCACCTTTAAATCCTCAACCAGCAACACACTCTCCAGTTTCACCTCTCCATACGGACTCTGCAGCACCACGTCACCCTCTCCTGTCACTGGCAACTTCCCACTGTTACCTTGCAGTATATAATCCTCACTCGACTCCCTCACGTTCTCCATCCAATCTGACCTGAATGTCATGTGACGCGTGCATCCGCTGTCCATGAACCATGCCGTCTTCTCATGATCGTCCGTCTGCCGAACCTCCTTTGGTAAACGCACCACGTTCGCACGATGCGCTCCTCCAAGGATCATATCATCCTCGTTCGCTTCTGCTACATTCGCCTTAGCCGCCACATTCCTCTGCTGCGACGGGCCCTTGTAGCTCCTGCTGTTCGGATTGGAGTAGCACTCTGCGGCACGATGCCCATAGCGCCCACAATAATCGCACTTGCCGCCAAAAACTCGTTTATGCTGCCACTCCGCTCCCTCATTTTCTCCTTTATCGTTCTCCACCGCTTTGCCCTTGTAGTTTCTGCTTCGCGGATTTTCGTAGCAGTTTATCGCCTTATGCCCCCTCTTTCCACACTGGTAGCACGCTCCAAACGCCTTCGTGGCATTCACCATAGCCGGCCTTTCCTCGTCGAATTCCTTAGCTGCTGCTGCCGCTTTCTTTTTCCTCATCTCCTTCATCGTCTCAAGCGACTGTAGAATCTCCTGCAGCTTCGTCAAACTCTCCGGCGGTTGGTACGTAAACATACCGATGTCGGATTCCCACTCCTTAGGAAGGCCTTGGATGATATAGTCAATCATCTCATGCTCCGTCTCCGCGGCTCCCATCACCCACAAATCGTCGTTGTAGCTTTTCGCCCTGTTGATGTAGGTGATGATTTTCTCGCCTTTCTCCATGCTCAGCATCAGCAGCTGCTTCCTGATCGCCTTCTTGTTGACATCGTTGGTGCCCATGTACGTGGACTCCAGGTACTCCCATGCTTTCTGTGCAGAGTTCAGCTCCCCTGCAAACTGGTCCAAATCCACCGCGATTCCGTCGGCAACTGAGTGACAAAGCTGAAAGAACGCTTGCTTACTTAGCTTTTTAAACGCCGCTATTTTCTCCTTCGTATCCGTCGGGGATGGCGCAACTCCCTCCATCGTCTCCTCGTCGGGACGGTAGTACGGCAAGAGGTCAACCTCCTCTGCCCTCCGAATGAACTTCTTCCGCCACACGTTGTAGTTGCTCCCATTGAAACGCTGAGCTTCACTGAGCCCGATCGTCGGTTTCGCCACCAATCGGCCACTCGCAAGGGCCTCGAGAAGAGTCTTCAACTGCGGGTCTCCAAGACTCACACTGGAACCCGAACTCGCCTCGTCTCCCATAGCGTAGGCGTGAACGACTCCTCTTCTCCACTAATTTCACTTAGCGCACCAAGTGAATTTACGACGACCGACGCGACCGTTCGCCAAGCTCTGATACCAGTTCTTAGGATCGTAAACGCCTTAGTCGGCAATAGTCTACTTGCTATTGCTTATCGTGTTCTCCACGATCACCCGATTCCAATGATATGCGCAGCTCTGCTTGAAGTTGTCAATACACACTTCAGCAATTTTCAGAATCTCCAAGTTATGTTTTCCAGAATGAGTACAAGCAGTTTTATAGTCAAGCAAGTCACAAAATGCGATTCGTAACTTCACTTGTTTCCCAAGTAACCCCGTGCGCCTCGTTTCACCCCGAGTCGCACACGGAACCGAACTGAATGCACCGAACACTCCTCAAGTCCGAATCTGGAACCTTCTCGAACACGCCTCGAGCTCGTACCACAGTTTCCCCCGTCGATCTCATTCTCGATACTTCTCTACTCTTCTCCTCCATTTCTCTAGTATCTTCCCGATCTCTCTCCCGCTTCTCACGCCGTAGCTTCCAATATCCACCGTAGGCCGAATTCCACCGTTTCATTCACGAATCATCTACGCGCTTCCATTTCGCCGTCATCCCGCCGTCGTAGAGACTTTCGCCGTAGGTTCCGTGGTTGGGCGAACCAACCCTAACAAATGTCGCCTCTATTCCCAAAGGAAATGCTCGTACAAGGGCATCGTAGCAGAACGGAGGAGGACCAGAATGTAAAAAACAGCTGAAACAATAACGAAGACATTCCTAGCGTTGTTTCCTTAGAGCCAATGAATTTCTTTCAGATCTTCCACGTGGCTATTCCGCGCCTCGCTGGTCGGCATAGGCACCTGCGGCACCTGCACTCACACCTGTGATTCATGCGTTATTGACAGGAAAACGTGAGTACTCTCGGAGACCAGGCTTTACTGATGTATATTCGATCAGGCCACCACCCACCTAGTGTCCGACCACTCCAGATATCCTGAATGTCGGCTGGGGTTTGACAACCCAAACTGTGCTCCACGCTCATGGCGCCTCCCGCATGCGCTTATCATCAAGCCGTTTGTGCGTCAGCTGGTCCATGAGGCGTGTAACCACCTTCCGTCCCCTCTTTCTCCAGAGCAGTGGGACCCATGGAAAACACGGCTGTGTGCCTTCCTACGGCAGTATAGCCGGGAGGAACGAATCCGGGTTACTAAAACAACCTCACACCTTCAGAACGAAATCTGCCGCCTACAGCTAGTGCTGGTACGAACGCCACAGGATCAAGCGGCCAGAATCTTGCTGGACAAGGCAGCTAAGCAGTTTGAACAATACGTGGTGAGCAGGGCAGCAGACATTGCTATGAAAGCCAAACTCAAGGTGGAAGGTGCCAAAGAAATGGGGCTCCCCTCCCTCCTGGTAGGACTCAACGCCAGAAACAAAGCAGCCATGGTACAACACCTCGTCCTCCCATCAGGAGAACGAACCACTGACCTACGCACAATGGCCGCCCATTGTACGAATTTCTATGCTGCGTTGTACAGTGGAGGCAACACGGCACCCCCCACACCTGACTTTTGGAACCACATCTACCCATCCAGTCTTCCGCCTGCTACCACCACACGACTTGCGGCGCCTCTTTCCCTCTCGGAAGTCAAAAATGCAATCTCCGCCCTCTCTAGAGGCAAAACGCCTGGCCATGACGGGCTGGCAGGGGACTTCTATCGCGCTCACCTCACCAACCTCACACCAGCGCTGCACACGCTTTTTACTTCCATTCAGGCTTCACAGCGCATGCCAGAATCTATGCTGTTAGGACGCACGGTACTCATTCCCAAACGCGCCGATGCGTCGTTCGTAGAGAATCTAAGGCCAATAACACTTATGACTTCCGAATACAAGGTTCTCGCCATATGCCTGGCGAAACGCCTGCAGATTACGCTTCGTCGCATTATACATCCGTCCCAATCTGCCTTCATCAAAGGACGACGTATTGGAGATACAATCAATGACTCCTTGGATCTTATGGAATGGGCCGAGATCAAGCAGCTCCCACTCCTCATGCTAACAGTCGATATCAAAAAAGCCTATGACATGGTAGATCGAGACTTCATGTACACGTGTCTGAGCCATCTTGGCATCCCTCAGGCATTCATCGACTGGGTCCGACTACTGCACACCGGTGCTAAGACACAAATCCTAGTCAACAACTTGCCCAGCGCTCCCATCCCAGTCGCCACCGGCGTGCGCCAAGGCTGTCCTTTAGCGCCCTTACTTTTCATTTGTGTCATTGAAGTACTGCATCGGCATCTCTCCTTTGCCTTACCCGGCTTCCCATTTGCACCTGCTCAAAGACGGCTCGCAGCCTGCTACGCGGACGACGTGTCGCTTTTCCTTAATAATGGTGAGGAGCTTCACACAGCCATGACGTACCTCCAGTCCTTCGCTGCCGTATCTGGAGAACATGCCAATTGGACGAAATGCTCTCTACACTTATTCCACTTTCCGGCTGAGAACGTTCCCCCCTCCTGCCCCATTCCAATCCGTCAAGCCAATGAGGCAGAACGGATACTCGGCATTTATATTCAGCACGACTCACCCGGAACTACCACATGGGCACACATTCTAGCAAAAGTGCGAGGATCGACTGGCCTCCTAGCCAACCTACATGCCACATCCACGTGCCGGTCGGCCTTGTCATCAGAACGCCTGGTATCTGTCTTTGCATTTGGAGGACGGTTTCAGCCGCCGCCAGAAGAAGTCACCAAGAAGCTAGACAAGGTCACAGGTAATTTCTTGTCGGCTTCTAAGTACAAGGAAGAAGGGATGGCAATGAGATTCATCCCCAACTGCATTCTCTATAACTCACGAAAGGATGGTGGTGTGGGAGCCATCAAACCATCAGAATACATTCAGGCACTCAACGTACAACGGGCAACAAGACGTTTCGGCCCCTCGCCGCTGGAAGATGTTGCCAGGGCCTGCTCAACCCTACCCTTCGGGCTGCACTGTTTCCTTGCTAATGACGACATCATCAAGTTTATGCCGGATCACACACCATCCAGGGCAGTGGCCGAACTCTCCGCAGTCCTAGCACTCAAACGCAAAGTCCTTCCGCCGAGGCTAGAACCCTGGGTTTTAATGGCGGAACCCATTGCTTTCAATCGCTGCATCCGGAGGAAGGACGGTCTATCTTTTGGACGAACCAAAAATGACAAATTCCTCCTTGACAAGGAAGTCCGTCTGGGCCACATTCTGCGGCGAACCACTAATGGCGCAAGACAACTCTCGGAACCAGAAATTCTGGCAAAATACCCTACCACTGAATATCCGGGAGGAAGAGGCCTTTTCAAGGCAATATACAAAGCAGTCCCGGACGAGTGGTGGTCTGTGCTTCACGACTTTACACCAACCAGCACGTACCTGACCAGTGGAGAATGGGTGATGTCGGCACAGCAGCGAGGAGGCGTCGTCAGACAGGTCATGCAGGTGCGGGCGCTTCTCCCCAATAGAACGACGCGCCTCAGCAAATTCGATGTTGACAACACGCGACGGGTAGCAGCGACTCCATCCGGCGACTGCGTTATGCCCATCAACGCCGTGATCCCGGTGTATGTCACCAACGGTTGGTACGCCGGCACCTACTGCTCTGGAGCCGGCCTCGGTAGCAGACTGGAGCTTCTGCAACATACCTCATCCCTTTCTTCTATCCGACGACTCAGCTACTCTGCGCACAAACTCAATCACCTCGACCGATGGAACGAGATACTCCCAGCCCCATTACCGGCGCTCCCCACGCTGAAGCAACCATTTCTTCAGGAGCAACCTAGCCGGCAGAGAGACGTGCTACTTCGATTCTACACGCTGTCACTCTCCTGTGGAGCACGGTTTCGTTTTACGGCGTCCGGTAGCAACTGTCCGAGATGCAACAACGGGTGCACGGAGACAATAATGCATATTTTCACGGAGTGTGGTAACGCGCCAGTCATCACCGCGGCCTTACAGCGCACGGCACGGGAACACCTTGGTGTTACTGTACCAACTGAAATGACTCTCTTCCCACTCACCACCCAGGCCGGGAGCTGTGCGCCATGGAGTCTACTAGTGGGGGCAGCAGCTAAAACACTCTGGAATGAAAGGTGTACGGAAATCTATGACAATTCGCGTGCTACCGACATCGCGTCGCTTCACCACGTGCTCGCTACCTTCCTGATGGCCTGCAAAATATACTTCGCGCGACGGAGCAAGTTCTCTGCCAAAAAGCAGCGCAAAACGGCATCTCGGGTCAAGTATGGGACAAGGAAACGCCTGCTCTATTTCGACTCAGCAGAGCAATCCACCCCGACTTACGACGTACCTGGCTTCGAAGGGAAAACTTTCATCCACCATAAGGAGCAACTCGCAATTTTGGTAGTGCTGGTCAAGTGTAGTTGGTCAACGCACTTGCCTGCAAAAGGCAGGACAGTCAAGCGTCGTAGGCGCAAACCTCTTAGGTTTCGGGAAATCCCGTATACTGTTCCAGCACTGTATGTTGTGGTCACGACCATTTAATAAAACTTAAAACTTAAAACTCATGCGTTATTGACAGGAGAATCGGTTCCACCTGCCCAAGCCCCCCCTGAAAGCCACTTCGTACCGAACCTGCGCTCCATACCACACTGCACAGCCTCCTTGCGGCACATCAGCTGAAACCTGAGCAGAATGAACAGGCCAACCAACGCCAAGCCAGTTTATCAAATCAAGGCTGAACCAAGGGCACAGGCAAGGGATTCGTATGATTGGTGATCGAAAGTCGTTGAGGGAAAGGCACATCATTGGCCCAGCTGGTCAGGTGGCCGGGACATGTGAAAACCAGCGAGGAGAGGCAGCCATGCCGTAGATTCAAATTCTTCAAGATTCCAAGTCATCGTCGCTACACATTTCAAATCCATCATCCATAGTTCTGTATGCTTGTCCGCCCAACATCCTTCAACATCACCCGTAGTTGCAATTGGAGCGCCCAGCTCTCAACCATTCAATACTATCGAAATCAAGACCTGCAAATTAGTTTGCTGGTTTTTCATTCGTTCAATCCGAGCCATTGATCCGGCTCCAGCATGAAGCCGAAGCGGCGAGCGCCGCAGAGAGTGCAGCGGAAGCCCAGCACGGTGGCGAGCGTGGGCGGCGGCAGCTGCATGCGCTTCTTGTTGCTCTTCCTCGCCGCCGCCGTCCTCTTCTGGGTCCTCTCCTCGCGCTCCGAAGCCATCGCGTCGTCGCTGAACGCCCTCAGTCGACGCGCGAAAATAGCCGGCGGCGGGGACAAACCCCTCGTTAGAGACCTCCTCGGTACTGGAGCCGCGGGGGCGACATCTATAGACGTATTTGCGAGCGATTCATTGGCCAATGAGGAACCGGTGCCGCAAATATCGCTATCAGGAACGGACGGGCAGGGGGAGGAACCGGATCTCGCGGGGACGCTGGATTCGGAGGATTTGGGAGCGGTGAGCGCGGCGCAGAACACGCAAGAAACCCCCAGCGAGCGAGGCAAGGCGGTGGCCGACGCGGTAGAAGATACGACGAGGAATGAGGCGGCGCGTAGATCAGCAGACGATGCACCGCTTGTCAAATCTGCGGGTTTGCGGGGCGATGGATTGTCAACGGGAGATAAGAAGTCAGATGCGATCAGCGAGAAGCCGCGACCTGCTGCTAATGTGATCGTCAGCGTGACGCAACCCGCCGGTGTAACGAAACCCGCAACGATGAAACGGAAAAAGCGACGAGTGAAAGCGCCTTTAGCGCGGTGGGCGCCGCTCAACGGCAAGTATCCGGATCTGACAATAGCGAAGCCGAAGCGCAAAGTTCTAAAGGTTAACATCGACAAGAAGAACCTGCAGCGGGTGTACTTAGACGCGACGCGGTTCCAGGAGAACAATCCGAAGAAGGTAGATCCACCTTTCGAGGCGAGTCGCGGTCCGGAGTGCCCGACGTTCGAGTACGGTTACGAGGGCTTCCCGGGCATCGCGTCGTGCTGGCGAAGCCCGATCGAAGACGTGTTACGTTCGCCAGCGTCGCTACCGGCGAATTGTGCGAATGCGACGGACGCCGGGTGCATGCAGGAGGCCGACAAGCAGCCCCACGAACCGTGGTCCGCGCAGGTGCGTTCCGGATAATGGGTTGGAAGGAGGGGGGACTGGGGAGGTGAGGGTGGGGTAAGAAGGGTGGGGGAGGAAGGGGCGGGAAGGGAGGGGGAAGGGGGAATAAAGGCAACAGCTATTACTCAGTGAATGAACGGAAAATCATCAAGGCAAGTGATCCGTTCCACAACGCCCCATACAGCAAAGAATGAGATGCGAGTAGGCGGGCTGGGGCTGTTGCAACGCAACGGGCTGAACGGAGAGGAAGGGATGCAGAGAAGCGCAGTGGGCTCGTGTGATACGCGAAAGGGACTGTGTGGGGAACGTGCGCTCATGTGCGCTCATGTGCGCTCATGTGCGCTCTTGTGCGCTCATGTGCGCTCTTGTGCGCTCATGTGCGCTCTTGTGCGCTCATGTGCGCTCTTGTGCGCTCATGTGCGCTCTTGTGCGCTCATGTGCGCTCTTGTGCGCTCATGTGCGCTCTTGTGCGCTCATGTGCGCTCATGTGCGCTCTTGTGCGCTCTTGTGCGCTCTTGTGCGCTCTTGTGCTGCGTACTGCATCCGCGAAGGGGAACGTGCTGCTGGTGGGTCAGGGTTTGGGGTTCAGGTTTTGGCTCCCTGTTGAGGCGAGGAGTCAGTTGGATTAATAGAACGGCGAAATTGATGCTACACATTCCCTGGCGAGATAAACAAACAACAAACACACCCCCCCGCCTTCCCTCGCCTTTCCCCTTTCCCGCCCACCTTGACCTCTCTATCCCTCTTTCCCACGCGTCCCCTCACTCCCCGACCTCCCCATCCCACGTGGCTCGCATTCCGCTCCTTCAACCCGCCCCCCTGATCCCACCCATCACTGCGGGCGGGAGCGGCCGACACACTGCGGGCGCGCCAGTGTACAGCGCTCACCTGCACACACACCTCCCTCTCCCATCCTCACCTCACTTCACCCATCCCTCGGGCCACTCCACCTCCCTCTCCCCCACCCCCACACCCGCCAGGTGCGACTCCTGCCACACAGTGTGCATGCCAATACAGCAGGGCCGCTGCTCATCCACTCCGCACACACCTGCACTGCCCCCTTTCCCTCTTACCCCCCACTCCTACCCGCCTTTCCCAATCCTCCTCCCACCCCCCAGCCAAGTGCTGTTGCTACCCAACATGTATGTGAACGTGACAGGGCAGGGGTTCAACGCCACACACCTTCCCCTTCCTCTTCCAGCCGTTATCCCTTTTCTCTTCCTCGTCACCCCCACCCCCTATTCCTCCCCCTCCCACCAGTTGCTGCTGCTGCACAACGTGTACGTGAACGTGGAGGGCCAGGAGTTCAACGCCACACAACCTCACTTCACCCCCCCTTCCCCTCCGCCGCCCTCCTCACCAGCTGCTGCTGCACAATGTGTACATCAACGTGGCAGGGCAGGTGTTCAACTCCACACACCTCTAACTGCTCCTTCCCCTCCCCTTCTCCCCCCAATCTCCCTCCCCACACCTGCACACCCTTGAGGTGCTGCTCTTGCACAACGTGCACATCAACGGGGTGGGCCACGTGTTCAACGCCACAATTGCACCTAACCCGTATTTCTTCCCCTCGCCCATCTCTCCCTTTTCTCCCCGGCACCCCCACCAGGTGCTGCTGCTGCACAACGTGTACATCAACGTGGCGGGGCAGGTGTTCAACGCCACGCACCTCTTTGACCACAACGCCTGCGCCGCCGAATCACCCTTCCACTACACCCCCGGCAACACCCAAGTCTCCTCCTACCCCTCCCTCATCTCCCTCGTCGACTGGTTCGGGTGGTCCGCGCGAGCCTACATGCTAGACCTGGTGCCGTCCATAGTGACTCTCGATGCAGTGCTGCCGCTGCTCAAGGGGGAGGGAGTGCCGGTGGCGCTGGGGTTGCGGGACCGGCATGTGAAGAATCAGATGGAGCAGGCGACGGGGCTGGGGCACTGGGAGCTGGTGGGGGTGCGCCTGGAGCGCATGAACCCGCACATTCTCAAGGAGGGCGAGCTCTTCTTCGCTGAACGCCTCATTCTCGTGAGTGCCATGGGGTATAGTTCTGAGGCGCCTCAAAACTAGGCTGGGGCGCTGGGAGCTGGTGGGGGTGCGCCTGGAGCGGATGAACCCTCACGTTCTCAAGGAGGGGGAGTTGTTCTTTGCGGAACGCCTCATTCTCGTAAGTGCCACCCTGTAGGGCAGAGTAGAGCAGTTCAGAGCACCTCACAACATAACAGAGCACCTCATATCACCTCAGAGCACCTCAGAGCACCGCATATTCCTCACCCCACGCCCTGTGTTTGCTGCATTCTCCTGTAATCCCCTCGTCTCTCGACTCCTGTGCTCCCCTCAACCCTTTCCCCCCCGCCGCTGTGTGCCCACAGCCACTGAAGCAGCGGTGTGGGCGGCCCAGCAGGGCCATGTGGTCGTACCTGCGCCACCGTAACCTGCTGCCCAAGCCCGGCCTCCCCATCTACCGCCACGGTACACACCCCCCACTCCTCCTTCTCTCCGCCTCCACCGCCCCATCCACTGCCTTGATGTGCTGCCTTGTCTGCACCCACGCCTCCCCATCTCCCACCATCTCCAGACCTCCGCCCCAAATACTTTCATTTTCTTGTCACCCAAATCCCTTCCCCTCCTCCCTTCCCGTCCTCCCTCCGCCTCCTCCCTCCCCCTAAATCCATCACGACAGAGTTCAAGCCAACGTACCGGAGGCGCAAGGGGGAGGACCTATCAGCGGGCAGCGACTGGATAGTGGTGGTGGCGATGCGGGACGAGTGGAAGCCGCTGGTGCAGACGCTCAAGCTCACGCAGCAGCTGCTCAAGTGGCTGCCCCAGGACCGCATTGTCACGTACCGCGACGGGTCACTGCCCTTTGGCAAGCGCAAGGAGCTGTTTAACCGGGCGAGACTGCTGGTGGCGGCGCATGACAACGTGCTGGCTGACATGGTCTTCATGCCCGCTGGTGAGTACTAGGCGAGGGGACTGACTTGTTACATCAAGTTGTTTGCTGCTGGCTCCTGGCTGCTGTGAGTGCGATTTTGAAGTATGTGTAGTTCATGTTGGGTAATTCTTTTTCCAATCCCCTCCCCTTCTCCCCCCAATCTGCAACCCCCCCCTCCCTTTATTTCAGGAGGGGCGGTGGTGGAGATCCGGCCAGAGGAGGAGGCGGATCCGACCTTTCACCACCTGGCAGACGCGTGCCAGCTGGACTACTACCTGCTCTTCTCGGACGGGCGCAAGGCGGACGGCAAGAAGGGCGGCAAGCCCAAGGTCAAGGACCCCAAGGTGGTGCACAAACTGCTGGAGAAGATTGCGAGACGGATACGGAAAGTGTAATTGTGAGTGTAGATTTAGTGTATAGTAGTCATGCATGTGTGTAACGGTGGTAGAAGATGAGCAGAAATTTGGATTCAGTTTTCCACATTGTGGCAATTACCGTATATTCTAGTTAGTGCATATTTGCTCACAATGCTTGTGCACACGATGCTGTTGCTCACGTCCACCACATCAGTTTCCCCCCCATCGGTTTCCACCCCATCCGTTTCCACCCCATCGGTTTCCACCCCATCAGTTTCCACCCCATCAGTTTCCACCCCATCAGATTCCCCCCCATCGGTTTCCCCCCCATCGGTTTCCACCCCATCCGTTTCCACCCCATCGGTTTCCACCCCATCAATTTCCACCCCATCAGTTTCCACCCCATCAGTTTCCACCCCATCAGTTTCCACCCCATCAGTTTCCCCCCCTTCGGTTTCCACCCCATCGGATTCCCCCCCATCAGTTTCCACCCCATCAGTTTCCACCCCATCAGTTTCCACCCCATCAGGTTCCACCCCATCAGTTTCCACCCCATCAGTTTCCCCCCCATCAGTTTCCCCCCCATCAGGTTCCACCCCATCAGTTTCCACCCCATCGGATTCCCCCCCATCAGTTTCCACCCCATCGGTTTCCACCCCATCGGTTTCCACCCCATCGGTTTCCACCCCATCGGTTTCCACCCCATCGGTTTCCCCCCCATCGGTTTCCACCCCATCGGTTTCCACCCCATCCGGTTCCACCCCATCAGTTTCCACCCCATCAGTTTCCACCCCATCGGTTTCCACCCCATCGGTTTCCACCCCATCGGTTTCCACCCCATCGGTTTCCACCCCATCGGTTTCCACCCCATCGGTTTCCACCCCATCGGTTTCCACCCCATCGGTTTCCACCCCATCGGTTTCCACCCCATCGGTTTCCACCCCATCGGTTTCCACCCCATCGGTTTCCCCCCCATCGGTTTCCACCCCATCGGTTTCCACCCCATCGGTTTCCACCCCATCGGTTTCCACCCCATCGGTTTCCACCCCATCGGTTTCCACCCCATCGGTTTCCACCCCATCGGTTTCCACCCCATCGGTTTCCACCCCATCAGTTTCCACCCCATCAGTTTCCACCCCATCAGTTTCCACCCCATCAGTTTCCACCCCATCAGTTTTCACCCCATCAGGTTCCACCCCATCAGTTTCCACCCCATCAGTTTCCACCCCATCAGTTTCCACCCCATCAGGTTCCACCCCATCAGTTTCCACCCCATCAGTTTCCACCCCACCAGTTTCCACCCCATCAGTTTCCACCCCATCAGTTTCCACCCGATCAGTTTCCCCCCATCAGTTTCCACCCCATCAGTTTCCCCCCCATCGGTTTCCCCCCCATCTGTTTCCCCCCCATCAGTTTCCACTCCATCAGTTTCCCCCCCATCGTTTTCCCCCCCATCGGTTTCCACCCCATCGGTTTCCACCCCATCCATTTCCACCCCATCAGTTTCCACCCCATCAGTTTCCACCCCATCAGTTTCCACCCCATCAGTTTCCACCCCATCAGTTTCCACCCCATCAGTTTCCACCACTATGCTCCTGCTCACGATGCTGTTGCTCACAATACTCATGCTCACTTTGCATGCAAGTACACCCTGCAATGCAAAGGAGATTATTGAAATGTACAATGAAAAGTGTGCAAATCAGACTGCATAATGATGTGGACAAAAAGAGGGGTCAGGAACTGACAATAGCATACAACTGTACAGCCCAAGCTACAGTGATGCCCAGTGCACAGTACACTGAAGTGAGGAGCAGCGGAAGGAAAGGGAAGCGTGCATGCAACCGTGGGTGGTGGTACAGCAGCTGGCACAGCATTTCCAAGGGTAAAACACCCAGAGCATGCACCACCCGTAACCTGTGCAACCACGATGGATACTGCAACTTGGGGAGCCGTAGATTCAACGAGTTTTGAGAAGGAGGTGGTTGGTGTGTTGAGGAAGTGGATTCGCGGTTGAGAGTGGGGGAGAAGAGGCGGAGGGAGGAGAGGAGGAGGGCGAGGGAGAAGAGTGAGAGGAGGAGGATCTTGATGGGGTACTCGGGGAGTGTGAAGAGGAGGGGGAGGAGAGCGTAGTGTGACACTGGAGGGGTGCAGAGGGGTTCAGAGGGTAGCGAGGGGGTGAGTTCTAGGATGACGCAGACACACAGCATAAAGATGGGCGAGAGAACAGAGGTACGGCACACCCAGGCAGGGCAAGGAGAGGTACGTCAAGACAGGCATGGCAAGGCCACGCCAGGCAAAGGAAGGCAAGAGCGGAAATGGGTGAGAGAGATCATGACGGGCTGAAATGTGAGAGAGGAACGGAGGGGCTACGATCATGCACTCACCGGTGGCGAGAATGAGGAACTCAGAGGCCCATGCGGGCGAGGCAGAGGCGAGGAGGGAGAGCGGCAGCAGGAGGTGCAGCACGGCCTTCTCATGCACGTGCCATCCCAGTAAGAACGCACTCAGAAACACATGCGCCAGCGCTGCTGCTATGGCCTGTATGCTCCACCGCCGCCGCTCCCCTGTGGGCACGCCATGGCGCTCACTCCCCCTACCCTCCCTCCGATCCTTGTTGCCACCATCTCTCTCACCAGCGTTACTGTCAGCACCATCCCTGCCAGCAGCATCAGTGTGAGCACCACAGAGGTAGGCAAAGGGTCGGAGCCATATATGCATCAGCACGGGCGCCATTGCAGCCAGCACCAGCAGTAGAGACACCAGCGGCGTCACCTGCGGCACCACACTGAACCCCACTGCATCCCCCACTAACCCCCGAGTCCACCCGCCCCTCCCTTCCACTCCCGGACCTCCTGCCAAGCCTGCTGCCGAAGATGCAGCAGCGAGGAGCTTGTCTGCGAGGGTGTAGAGAGCCCAGAAGTTGGGCGCCCAGTACGCGTGCATGAGGCCGCGACCGAAGGGGAACAGACGGGCGATCAGGTTGGGCATCTGGTTTGTGACTATAAAGGGGGCGAAGGAAACAAGCAGCACTGTGACGACCACTGCTCCCAGTGTGACTATACGGGCGAGCGAGGTGAGGAGGGGGATGGAGCTGCCTGGCGCCGAGGCTGAAGTGGATTGATGTTTTGCACCAGGGGAAATGCGTCTGGGCGGTTTGGAGCTGTTGTGTGTGGTGGTGTGCGGTGCAGCGGCGGCGGGGGGTGGAGGGAAGCAGTGGTGGCGGAGGAGGAAGACGAGGAAGAAGGGACCAGCGACGGCAAAGAGGTGCTTGAAGCAGCAGAGAGACGCGAAGGTGAGTGACGCCCACACGTGCCTCCCCTCCTGCCATGCCACGCCACACACCCAGCCATCGGTGCGGGAAATTCGAGTCAGCTTAAGTGAGATGAAGCACTAGAAGCAACGATCGACTGAGTGAAGCAGCAGCAGCGGCGCGTGACGCAGATGCATCACGGGGGAGACGTACGGCGAGGAGGGCGAGGGAGAGTAGCAGCATTGCAAGCAGCATGCCGTTGTACTGGAAGTGCATGTGATCCACCAGCAGCAGCCCCGCTGACAGCACCACCGCCCCCGCTGCCACGTTGCGGTGCGCCCGAGAGGGCAGGCCGCGCGTGCAGCGCCACGCTGCCACGGCCAGCAGGCAGTCCGTGGCCATCACTGATACGCGCTGGGGGGAGCAGCCGGGAGGGGGATTGGATTCTGTACCGGGTTGGATTTCGTGCCACGGCCAGCAGGCAGTCCGTGGCCATCACTGATACGCGCTGGGGGGAGCAGCCGGGAGGATTGGTTTATAAACTGTATTGAGTTCTGTATCAGGTTGGATTTTGTCTGGTGCAATGTGTTGCATGTTGTGACGTGACGCTTGGGTGTGCCTTGAAACAACAATGTCAATTTTGTGATGACACGGGGTGTGGCACTGCACACCTGGAACAGCACGGTGGCGTAGCTGGCGTGTTCGAGCCCGTTAACGAGGTGGGTCATGAGCGGGTCGACGCGGCACGCGAGCAGCGCGAGGCAGCGCTCGAAGAAGGCGAAGAGCGGCGGGTAGTCCAGCGTCCACTGGCTCGTCGCGTCCACGTACCACTGCCATTGTCGCAGAACAAGGATGCACACGTTTGCGAGGGAACGGAGGGAGCAAGAGGCGCGTGAAAGCCCCCCCGGAGAGTCGAAGGAGCGGATGTGGACGATTAGAGATGGAGCTGTTCGGAGAACGAGCGGGAGGAGCTGTCAAAGCTTTGGGGCGCGTGCAGCATCTGGATTTAAAAGTCTGGTCGGGATTCAACCCTGAGGTACGGTGCCTCGAGACGGCAGTACATGAAGCGCAATGGGCTGCTGGATTCTAGGGTTGGCGAATGGGATGAATCTCGATTGTCGACGGACGGACCTGCGAGAGCGGCAGCGAGTGCGTGATGGCCAGCCAGTTGCGGTGCACCTCGAAGTCCGTGCTGCGATACGCCGGCACCAGCAGTACCTTGATGCACGTCGCCACGCCCGCCATCCACGCCACGTCCGCTAACGCCGTGGACGCACTCGCCCGTTCTTTGCGCGCCATTGCTACTGCGGCGGCAGTAGTGGCGGAAAAACGAGGAACAAGCCACCACAGTCTCGTCTCGTATTTCTCCTAACCGGATGGTGCATCGGAATTCAGCGGAGGTGCTTCTGTCACTTCGGTTTGCAGATCGCAAAAACAAATTGTCCGACTGCGGCAATAGTTGCGTGATACAGCACTCGTTTATACAATTTCATACACTTCAATTCTCACAAAGGCAAAACTCAGAACTTTATTGCAAACTCTTTCCTAACGTCCTTGCAGCTATTGGCTACTGGACTTGTATCTCCAAAAACCACCTTCAAAACGCAACCACCCATGCAGGCTAACCTTACATGCTAATAATAATTCATCATCATGTTGTAAACCACATCAGCCCACGCATCAGGGACCCCTGGCAAGCACCAGTGGCTGCAGTCCTTTCTCTTTGATCGCAGATGCGCATCGGGGCGCTGGGCACTCATATAAGTGATTTGCGCAACCCGGATTTTCTTGGATCGTTTGAATATCGACACTTGCTTTTTCATAGCCGGAATGGTGTAGCCATTGAGATGCGCAACGCCATCGGTCTCGTTGGCAAAAGGGGCATTGGCGGTGGCGCAAGCATTCCCAGCATGAATCGGGGAAAAGGTCATGAATATGGGGAGGCCGCTGTAAGGTGTTTTCTCAAAATAATCGTATAGAACGCCCATAGCCTTGCGGTATGCCCCCATGGGCTGCCAATTGGGGTTGGAACCGAGCTTTGAGCTCGGCTGAGGAGCAGCAGGGTATGGATGGGAAAGAATGTGGGATGGATGGGATTGGTAAGTCATGATTGGAGTGGAATGGAATTCAACAATGGATGGGATACAGTGCGGTGAGGTAGATGGGATGAATGAGTGGGAGGAGATGCGAAGGGAGAACCAGTGGGATCACACTGCGCTTACAGGCGTGTTACATTTCGAATGCTGAAACCAGAGAGCGTGGGGCATACCGAATGGGGGAACCAGAGAGCACGGGGTGACGGGGCATACCGAATGGGGGAACCAGAGAGCACGGGGCATACCGAATGGGGGAACCAGAGAGCGTGGGGCATACCGGGTGGAAGAACCAGAGAGCACGGGGCATACCGGGTGGAGGGGCATACCGGGTGGAAGAACCAGAGAGCATGGGGCATACCGGGTGGAAGAACCAATGGCCGGCGCTGAAAATGATAGAGTGCGTGTAGGGCAGAATGCCCGCCCACTTGGGGTTCACCACGTATGGCTGCGTCTGGTCCTTGTACTGCGCCCGGGGGGAAGCGGCCAGGGGGGAAGGGCCAGGGATGGGAATGGCCAGGGGAAAGCATACACACGGTTAGCAGGAGGGGAAGAACTGGAAGGCGAAAGCAGCCGGGGGAAGAGCACGGAGGAAGAAAACACGGGGGGAAGAATGGAGGGGGGACGCACGGGAGGGGGAGAGGAGAACGGAGGAGGGAAGCACTGAGAAGGAAGCAGGCAAGGGGGCAGCAGGGAGGGAGGAAGGCGGAGAGGGAGAGGAGACGTCAGGGAGGGAGGTGTGCTCAAGCCACAAATCGGGCTCTGACTCGCGTATGGCGGCCGACTCACGTATCGCGGGCTCTGCACGATGTAGCCGCTGTTGATGGAGAGCAGCGTGAAGTTGTACTGCGCCGCGTGCAGCGACCCCACTGGCCTCGCGCCGCCTAGCCACGACTTCTTGAACTGGTGGTGGGGATGGCGGGGAGTGGAGTGGGATGAAGTGGGTTGGTGGAGTTGGCTTGGACCGACGAGGATGGGGGCGAGGGCGCAAAAACAACGGCGTTCTGTTCCTAAATTAGTCTACTCAGGATGGGATGGCGAACGATTCGTTAATAAGCGGATAAGTGCGGCCGATTCGTGCTTCAACGAGGAAATTCACTTCCGGAATTCGAGAACGCGCACCTCAATTTTCGTGTATGCGGAGAGGATGCAGTGGACGGACGCGTGCAGGTTGTCGCTTAGCGAATCACCCACAAACGCGACGATCTTGTTCCGCATGGTCTCGAGAAACGTCTTGGGATTGAATCTGCCGCCGCACGAAAGGGAGCCAAGAATCAAATCAACACATGAGTCTCGTATGGGGTGGAAAGGGGGGAGGGGAGGGGCGACGAATGGCGGAGGAGGAGGAAGTAATGGGGCAAAATGAGCATTCATTGATCGTACCTCCATCGGTCGTAAGAGCAAGGCGGCGCCGGAACCCACACGTATCCGGCCGGGTTGCGCCCGACAGTGTCACATGAGAAGCCCGCCGCGCACCCGCTGGCGTAAGCCGGCTTGTAGTTGGGGATGGAGGACGTGCGAACCCAGCTGCGCGCGCGGAGCGTTTGGGTAAGGGCGGGTGGAAATTGCGAGGTAGGGGGAAGGGCACATCGGTGAGTTGCGGAGTGCTTGACACGGGTGTGAAGAAGTTTAAGGGGAGAGATGCCAGATGCTCAGCGTTCAAATGAGGCTCTTCAGAACAACATGGGTAGGAAGAATGGCGGGAATTGCGGGGCCTACAGGAGGAAGCGAGGGGCACGGCGTGAAAGAAGGGATTACGGGGTACGGGGAGGTGTAGAAAGGGAGCCCAAGAGGAGAGTAAGCATGAAAGCAACATCCACGCCGAGCCTACCTCCCTCTTCGATAGTCGCAACCTGCTGATACCCGACTTCCGACTAGGGTGCGACGTACGACACCGTCGCCAGAGCTGTTCGCTTGTCGCATGAGCCATCGCACAGCGGCATCTGCCCACTCGTCGCTCGCACGGGACCGGAGGAGTGCGCTGGATGATCGAGCCGGAAGGGGGAGTAGGGAGGAAGAGGCGACGAGGACAAGGAGCGAGAGCATGGTAGCGGGGAGATGAGACGGTCTCAGAATAAAGCGAGTCCTTGCACGTGGCGAATCCATTGCTGATACGATTCCCGAATGCTCGCAGCACGCTACACGGGTGCCACCTTCTAGAAACCGTGCAGATAAGGCGTTGTGGGGCGGTGAGAGCGGTGGGATCGACGAGGCATTCGATGAGCACCCGCGTAGTCGGATTTTCTGGCGCGCGAGAATGCCTGACTCGGTATCACACGGATCGTCGCTGTGCAAAGCTAAAATTCCCAAAGCGCGGAGCTTCGAGGTTACAGGAGAACGATAGGCTGCGAGAGGCAACAAGGCAGACCTTAGGTTCAAGCTCCAGATGTCTACAGCGATAGAATTCGATCTGTCCTTCAGTTTGATGTCGGTCGCTCGGTTGATGCGGGAAATGGTGATGTCACTCGGCTTTACTTGCTTGCAAGCAACATTGATGATGAGATGAGTCACGGGTGGTGGATAGTTGTGGGTGGAGGGGCCGGCGGAGGGCAACATTCGTGATTATGCGAGCCGAGATCAAGGAGTTCCCTCCCGGTTGGCGCATTTCGAGTTTCATCTTCGGGTCGTAATTCTAAACTTCCGAATCGCGGTTTGTCTACAGACGGAGTCGCTTGAGACCTCAATTCGCAGGGCAGATGTGAAATGTTATCGCACTCAGATTTCCCACTTTCGCGAAGTGAGTGACACTCGATTCTTTTTGCAAAAAATAGTCAAGGCCTTGGAGATTGGTTCGGAAAAGAAACGGATGAGAGAAAACCTCGACATCACCGAATCGCTCTGTCCGTTTGGCGATCAGACACGACCAGCTGTCCGTCGCCAAACTCCCGAATGAGGGGAACGTGCGAAAACCGCGCCCCGTTGTTGAAGAAATCCCGTTTCGCAGAGCTCACTATATGATAGGGTTGTACGCTGCAATGTAGTTTGTCCAATGGTAGCAAGAAACAGGTGCACCAGTTGAATCACACACATTGTTACGAGTGCAATTGAGTGAACGAACTAGAATTGCACTATCGAAGCAAGAATACAATGAGCGAAGGCATGAGCGAAGAATATATAGCGAAACTACAGTGGTAGCGGTAATGGACTGAGGTTGTCGCGCGACGGGCATGGGACTGAGGTTGGGGAAAATGTCGAAGCGGAGGCCCGGAGCGCGGGTTACCCGCCGAGCCGTGAGGTCGGGGTGCGACGTGCGAAGGTGGCGGGAGGATTGTCGATGCGAGAGTCGCAAGTGGTAACGGTGCTGACTGTGGTGCTACAGTGGTGTACGCGCTGAGCGGGGACGCGAAGGAAAATGAATTTTCCTTACACACATACATGATGGGACTCGAGCAGCACATCAGGTGCCTGTAAGAGCAACATCTTGAAGCAATAAACAAGAAACACTGCCAGAGATCCAGATACTACGAGGCCCACCATGCTATCAAGCAAGGTGAACTCATAACTTCCAAAACCGGCAGACACTGCTATTGCCGCAATGATTCCACTAGCTAGCGGACCATGCAAGTAACCACAACAGAGACCATTTGTGGGTACCATGAAGGCGGTGACGTGACAACAAAGCACGCCACGAGGCATTTCATTTGTGGGAGGTCATTCTCCTGAACGAAAGCAAGTGATGCTTCCTGCGTGTGGCCATCGCAACGAGGGGTTGATGGAGGAGTGGGGAAAGGGGAATGGGGCAATGGTTGATTTAGATGTGCAAAAAAGCTCGATGTTATCAGCTAAAGCAACATCAACAAACAATCTTCTCACCTGCAAGATGGTGTGGTAGCAGCAGAGGCAGCTGCAGCAGGAGCAGCGGCAGGAGTGGAGGGAGCTGATTGGGCAGGCAGGAGTGAGGGCGGTGCAGAGCTGGGCACGGATTCGTCTGTGGCCACTCGGGGCACTGGATCAGGTGCCTGAGGAGACGCACTTCCCTCTTCTGCTTCTGCTCCCACTGCTGCCGTTGCTGAAGCTGCTGCTGCTGTATTCGTCGCTGGAGCTACAGTCGCTGCTGAGCCAGCAGGCAGTGCAGCAGCACTAGTGGTGGCGCTGCTGTGTGCTGGTCTGTCAGAGCGGTGGGAGAACCAGCGCACAAACTTGCTGCCAGCTGAGGCGGACGCGACAGTGGTGGAGTGGGGGGGCGTGCGGGGCGTGCTGGCAGTGGTGGAAAACGTGGTGCCTGATGCACCTGAGGCTGCTGAGGCAGCACTGTCAGTTGCAGGGTCTGGTGGTGCGGCAGCAGCAGAGGCAGCAGCATGCTGATCCAAGTCAAGCACGAGTGAGAGCTTCTTTGACACAGCCTTGCCCAGTGGCTTGGCGAGGCCTGCAGCAGGCACCAGCGGAGGCGCAGGCGAGGAGCCAGCAGAGGCGGTGCTCATGGTGGCGGCGGTGGTGGCGGTGGCGGAAGTGGGGTTGGTGGTTGAGGCAGCAGCTTGGAGGGCGGCGAATCTGGCCTTGTGCAGCTCGCCTCGCACACAGGCCGTCAGCCAGTGCAGGCGCGTGAGCTCGTCCCTCTCCGCCATGCCCCTCGCCTTGGTCTCCTCCACCTGCACTCATGGCACGTAGGGACAGCACACATGATGGTGAGTGAGAGCACGCATGGCCACCTACAGGAGGAGTTGGAGCCAAATCGGGGTGCTGCGTGGGGGGAAAGGAAGAGTGGTGCGGTGAAAGTGGGGACAGGAGAGAAGAGGAGTACAGGGAGGATGGGTGGGCGAATGGGGGAGGGATAAGGGAGAGTGATGCATGAGAGCTTGGGTGCAGGTGCCTCACCTGGTCGAGAATGTCCCACACTCTAGCAGGCACCTCCATCTTGAGTCCGTCAGAGGATGCCACCTTCTCACTCCTATCGCCCGCCACCCCCTCCTCTGCTCTGCTGCTTGCCCTCCTCTCCCCACCACCCCCCTCCCCTTGCAACAACGCATCTTTCATTGCCCCTCTGGTGTGCCTCAGCAGCGTCACCTCCTCCTCCAGCAACTCCTTTGCAGCCACTGCATCCCGTGCCTGCCCAGTGAAGAGTACAAAAGAGGGGAAAAGATGAGGAGGATGAGACAGGAAGGAGGAGAAACCAGGGCGAGACACATAACTTCATGTAAAACAAGTTCAATCACTCCAGCCAGCGGCCAAAGCCCACCTGGAATTCAGCAGCGCTGCGCCGTTGCTGCTCCTCAGCGAGCTCCTTCTCCAGCACCAGCAGCCGCGTCATCATCTCGCCGCCCTTCACCTCCAACTCGCCATTCCGCTGCACCTGCTCAGCCAGCGTGCCCTGCAGCCCGCGCTCCCACTCCTCCGCGTCCTCGCGAGTCTCCTTGCTCCACACCAGCGTCTTCCGCAGCCCCATCGCCTCCTTCGTCGCCAGCTGCAGCTGCTCCAGCAACCCCATCTCCGCCGCCTGTGCCTTCTGCAGCTGCTGCCGCAGCAGCGCCGCGTCTGCTTCCTCTGCTGCTGCCCGCCTCTCTGCCACTGCTGCTGATCGTCTGAGGGAAGAAAGTTCTTTCTGGGCAGCTGCGAGCTCCTTGTCGAGATCTTTCCGCTGCTGTTTGACCTCCGCCAGCTCACGCCGCAGCGCTGCTGACTCGCCCTTCTCCTGCGCCAGCATGGTTTCAATGTATTCCACGTCAGCAGTGAGGCTCTTCTCTCGCCGCTTCAGTCGCTCGTTCTCAAGCCTCACCTTCCCCAGTTGCGCCTTCAACTGGGCAGAAGAGGAAGACTCCTCGCTGCTTCCTCCATCCCCATCTTTCTTTAAATCCGACGCCCCGTTTTCGCCTGCTTCCCCTGCCTCATCCGCTTCGTTTCCTCCCTGTCCTGTCCCTTCCGCGGGGACATACGACCAGTCCTCTACTTCTTGTTTTAGCCGAGTCAGGGCGATTTCCGCTTGCACCTTCTCCACGCTCACACTCGCCAGCTCAACTCTGAGTCGGTTCAGCTCAGCACGGCGCCGTGCCAGCTCAGTTTCATATCGTGCCACCTCAGTCTTCTTCCTTGACAGCTCAGCATCGACAACAGAGACAGAGGGACTGGACGAGAGCTCAAGAGGAAACTCCCCACTTAGTCCCGCAGAGCCCCTCCCTGCTCCACCACCCACCATTCCCACCGCCCTGTCTTCCAGAGGCGAGGCAGTGCCGCCATTTGCCAGGCCATAGCGCCGATTCCCCGCGGTCGCGCCAGCAGCAGCGAGAGCGAGCGACGGTTCTGACGTCGACGCCGTCATTCGGGACGTTGAAACCCGCCCAGGGTCTTTTCCGCTGCCGCTGAACCGTTCAATCGCTCCCGCGACGGTGTCCGCACCCCCCGGCTCGCCTCTGCGCTTCTCCCTGCTCTTCTTTCCGCCCGACGACTTGCGCGATTTGCCTGGCGTTTTTTCTGGAGAGATGGGCTGAGGTTGCTGCTTGCTCTGCTTGGGTAGTCCCTCGATGGATCGAATCAAGGAGCCCACCGAGCCCCCCTCCTTACTGTCACCCTCTTCGTCATCCCCAATAACCACTGCAACCCCTTCCCCACCTCCTGTTCCCCCGCCTTCCGCTTCCCCATCACCGCTCCCCTCTCCACCCGCGCGCCCGTCGCTGTACCCCACCTGCCACCATCCGCCCTCCCCACCATCCCCCTCCTTGCGGTACTCCTCGCGCCCCTCCCCGCCCGCCACCTCGTAGCCCAGCGCTTCCATGCGCTCGGCGCGGGCGCGCGACTCCTCGAGCGCCATGATCTCGCAGAGCGCTTCCATCTCCTCCATGCTCATCCCGTCCAACCCCTCCTCCGCCAACTGCTCCTCCGTCAACTGCTCTCCGCCGCCGATGGATTCCTCGCCAGGGTCGTATTGCAAGGCAGGAGTTTCGACTGTTCTCGGGGAGGGAATTGACTGTCGTCTGACGGACTGCTGGAAATCGCCGGTTGAACTTGGACGGTCAGATTGGACTCGCTTGTACTGAATTTTGGCGGTGCTGTTGCCGCCGACGCGGCGTGATAGGGAGATTGCCGTGGACGGCGACGGCGGCTCGCATTCGAACATGGAGGCGATACGCTGCACCTTAGACAGCTGCGGCTCGAATCGAGACGCGAGCTGCTTCACTCGGCTAGGACTCGGGTCGTCCATGGCTCTTTACTGTACTGTTGGTCTGCTTTTTAAAACCAGGGTGCACATTCAACGCGGTTCGGCTTGAGATGTTGGGAAGGGGGTTTGGAGAAAAACAGTGATTGGCTCACGAGGGGCGACAAAAAAATGATTCCGCTAGAGCTTCGGGCATTTCGTAGGTGGCGGGAGGGGGTGAAATGGCGGGAGTGGGTGAAACCGAATGGCGGGAGGGATGAAACAGATTGGCGGGAGGGGGGGGAAACGAAATTGCGGGGGAGGGGGGAAACAAAATTGCGGGGGAGGGGGGAAACGAATTTCGACGGGGAGGGGGAAATGAAATTGCGGGGGCGTGGGGAAACGAAATTGCGGGGGAGGGGGGAAACGAATTTCGACTTGAAGGGGTTGAAAGCACACCTCGTAACCCACTCAGTCAAGGGATAACCTTTGATGCACATTCAGCTGAATGTGCACCCCGGTTTTAAGTGCGACAACGAGAGGTGTGATAATGATATTCTTCACTGGTATGTGTTGCTAAGCTTCTTCTGACTGATGGAAGGTCACCTGATTTTTATATATTAAAGCCCGTGTCCCAAATTGCGGGCCGCGCGGGTCAAGTTTTTAAAACTTGACGAAGAGGAGTGTGCAAGTTTTGAAAGTAGCGCACCTGCAATTTGGGACTTTCGAAGTGTGACCCCACCCACCAGGGGGGGATCCGGGGGCTGGCTGGGTTTGGCGAAAAACACTCGCCCAACCCCAAACCAGAAAAGCTCCCTCTCGTCAACTTTTTTAAAGGATGAACAATTTGGGCTGCCGGCTGCACGCACTGGATCGACATATTGTCAAGCTTATTGAGCTGTTCTTTCGTCGTTCCGCATGTCCAACGGCAAAGAAAGGGTCTGATATGGACGAATCAGAATTCCGTCCGAGGCACACACCATATGAAAGCGATGAAGTCCATCAAGCCATACGACGACAGGCAGACGCATCAAGAATTCAAACTTACATGATGCCTGACAATCTCTGGGATGTCCGAACCTGACAAATGACTTGTTGCCCCTTCCTTGCTGTCCCCCACCCGTGCCGTGAAAGGTTGGAGCATGCAAAACAGAGGGGAACGGTAGTCAGATACTCTGCCGTGGGAGCACAGTCTGGCAGCGCCTTCGAGTGCAAATTACTCAGCGCCACGTGGCCACTCTTCCTGTCAGCACCTCTCAGAGAGAAATCGGTTTCGATTCTGTTCCGGTATTAGTATGGCTGTGACAAATACAAGTGTAATTCTTGTTTGATGTTACTCACCTTAGCTGAAAGCCTCTTCACTTCAGCATATTTAGCAGTTATAGATTCAATAACAGCTACACTATCTCATCAAAATCAGCACACTATCTCCTGATCTTCTAGAAACTTTATAAATAGAAAGTATGGAGGCGCGCTCAGCCGGATGGTTCAACGTATGTGGTACCATTCAATGCGCGAACATCAAGAAACAGCAATATCTGTTACCTGAAAAAATCGCCATACCACCAGGGGCTATTGCGCTTGCAATAATGATTACCCATAGTTGACCCGTCCCCCTCAACCCCACTTGGTTGAACCCGTCCCACTCAACCCTACTTGCAGCTAACGATTACACATAGTTGACCTTGATATGAGAATAGCCGCCATGTAGGTCCGCTGCTAGCAGCTTCCGCAAAGCCATGGTAATTGCCCCTGGAGAACCTGAATTGTGGAAGAACAACGAAACAAGTGTCAGCAGTAATCACTATGACCCTAGCGCAACACAACTTCGTTAAAACCTTACCGCTTGCAATGACTTGGTCATCCCATCGAATCACAGGGGTCACCAACACCCCGCTGCCCACAAGCATCATTTCTTTGCACTGTCGTGCTTCAGACTCTGAAACTGGCCGGTGGCAAATCCTGCTTATTCTAGGAACTGAATCTTCTTTCAACAGTTCTTCTGCAAGTGCCAAAACTCGCTTCATTGTACACCCTGCCAATACCTGCAGCACATTACAAAAAATTAGCATCCGCAGCCAAAAGCCGAAGGGCAGATAAGAAAAAAAAGAGCACAGAACCAAACTCACCCGGCTGAACTCAGGAACAAGAAACTCGTTTCGGTCATTAACAAACTGCCAGCAGAAGAGCAAACCAGCGGACGTTAAAAACAATCTTATCAGCCATGCAGTGTCATCTCTCTCCAGACGACGTTGCCTAGACTTACGGCAACATTCATGCTGGGACCTTCTCCAACGTTGCCATTCTCATCAATCCAAATGCCTTCAAACACACCCCTCTGCACGTTTCAAACACACAGGCTAACTTAGCGTTCCCATCCACATTATGGGGCAAAATCTGCAAAAAAGTTAGCCCATACCTCTTCAGCCTCCTTCTTCACCAGAGTATTAGGCATGTAATTTACATTCTTCATAGTTGAGAACATTGGAGCTTTCATTGGAACACTTGACGTAGCCTGCAAGTTACCAAACGAGCACACCGAGCTCAGACACCAATCGTCCACTGAAGGAAAAAGGCAGTAAGAGCAAGGAAGAGTAACTGACCACTGTAACCCCGTCAACTGGATCCTCCAGATTTGTGAACTTATTATCCGCAACGACCATGACGTAAAAGGTACTTCTTGGACACCTGCAAGAATGGATGACAGTAATTATTCACTGACCAGCAACCCTTGGAATGCTACAAAGACACATGGCAATGCGCCTACTCTTTAGTGGATAAAGTGAAACCACCAGGTCCAACTGAGAGCCAGTATCGAGTACTGCCGTCCCTCACTCCGCTAACTGCACAGGTATTGAATGGACATAAAATGCACCTGACGCATCGCTGGATAAGGACTTGTTCCTACGATACGGCAAGTGCATACGTGAGAGTGCGGTTACTGACCAGCGACAGTCTGGATGATAATAGCTTTAAGCTCTTCCCGAGAATATGAGTGTTCAATTCTCGCCGCACGAGCTGACTTTATGAAACGGTCAACATGCTCATCAAGCTCATATAAGTACCTGCACGTGGAAAAAAAATGACCAAAATTTGCAACTTGAAGGCGGCCATGGGTACAAACATCAGAAAACCCAATTTTATGTGCGCAACTTACCCTGAGCAAATAATGGCGGTGTCAAAAACAGCGTGGCCTCTGTGAGCCATGTGATCGTCAATAGGAATTACCATAGCTGCTGGATCCGTCGTGATTCCACCGACCACACTCGAGTAAAACGCGCGATAGTTTTGTTGATTAGGATGCTTGTGGCCAGCAAGCCTCTCCGCCACCTGATAAACGCGTTTGACTGTGAGAAAAGTCGTGCGAAGGGAAATTTGACATTGTGCTGAGAAATACCTACCTCCGTTTGCGAAAGGACGGGAATTGAATCCACATTGCTCTTCGTAACTTCGCTCAGAATTGTGGCAGGCGCAACGCAACTGCTCCTGCAGGGTTTCAAGGGCTTAGAACGTGGCAATTCCTTAAGCCGATGGCTGAAGGAGCGGCACAGAACCTCAAGCGAAACGGACACGCGATTGGAGCTGCGTGCAGACGAAAGAGATGTCGACACATTGGGAGAACTATCCACTCCAAGCAAACGGGCGGGTGCGGATAAAGCGCTAGAGGTGAAGGACGCCATACTGCAAGAGGTGACGGATGCAATACTGCTAGAAGTGTAGGACGCAATACTGCTAGAAGTGCAAGATGCACACAGATTTTGTAAGTAAGGGTGACCAGCAGAGGATCATAACAAGAGAACCTGGACGGGAAGACTGCAAATACAGGCAACCAAATCGCATTGGTGACTGGACCTTGAAAGACGATAAGTGCTTCGACATTGCGTCGATCCGATAAGCATGGGGCCGAATCAATGCATCGTTCTGCTACCTTCTCGATCAAGGATATGCACATGGAAAATAGAACTATATACACTATGCATACAGGCCAATAGCAATACAGATCCACATTTCCATATTCCAGCCCATGACGCTGCAGTATCATTGCCTAGTCAGAAGAACCTTCATCTTCTTCAGCGGCTTGTTCTAGAAACTCCTCGGCTCTATTGAGGAGTGGATGGCAATCAACATCAGGCGCATGGAGTGCTTTGCTGCTCTGCACCTTGATGGCAAGGTCCACAACAAGTGATCGCCACTGCTGCTCCCTCTTCTCTGCCACAGCAATCTGACAAGCGAGGACCAGAGAAATAGGAGACGCAATATGAATTAAAAGCTGACGACGACCGCATTTCAGTTGAGCACAACAGTGTCCTTTGCCAGCTAATTGGCAATGAAGCATGCACTCACCCTGTGGCGTGCATCCATTTCCAGCATGTGTGATGCCGATCGCACACTGAAGGAGTTCATCAGCAGCAGCGGACTTTGATCTGTCCAGCAGCCTGGCAGGCCTGAGGCACCGGAACTTTTCTCCTGCTTGCTTGCACCACTGCTCCTCCTGCCACCAATTCCAATGCCTCCTCTCATGCTGCTGCTGCTAGAGGCACTGTTTCGTTTGCTGCTGGGAACAAGAATGGGTGGTTCACTAAAGGACCTCCCATGCCTCCTTCCACCTGAATCCCTCTGCTCCCTCCGCCCCTTCTTGTTGGGAATTTCAACACCCATTTCCTCCATTTCTTGCCTGTCTGCAGTTTGAGTAAATTCCTTGCAGCCTTCATGCCTTGTAGACCCCCCCCCATCCAGCACTGCGGCAGTTGGAGCAACACTCGCACATTCCCTCCCTGCTGTCAGCTCAGCCCCTTGTTGAGTCCCTCCCTCGCCAACCAAATCAGCGACTGGTGATACCTCAAATGATACACGCCTGCTAAGTCGCCCTTGTTCTGTTGTCATCCCACCACCAATTCGATCCCATCTCTCTGCACTCCCCTTTCTAACCATACGCCTCATCTGCTTCCTCCCTTCAAACGCATGAGCTTGTGCCGCTGATCCTGCACCTGTTCCTACCGTGACTGCCGCATCTCCATCTCCTGCTATGACTGCTGTTGATGCGGCTGCGATTGCTACAGGAGCTAACACCACAGCTCCACTTGCTGCAGCCTCTGATGTTGCTTCCATGGACCACGTCCCTACATGAGCAGCATTCCACACACCTGATCTGTTGAAAACACCTGAGTTCGAAAGAACAGCTGGAGGCACACTTGCTGGGCTGCTGCTGCCGGAGCTGCCTTCAATAACTGGAGGGAGAGAGGCCATGGACAATTCGTGCTCCATGCCTGCCAGAGGCAGGAACATCGCTCCACCTTTGTGTCCCTGCCCACCCCTTAGCCCTCCTCCTGCTCCTTCCCCAACAGCTGCAGAGTCACTTGCAGCTCTGCATTCACGGATTCGTCCCCAGTCTTCGGCAGCAACACCAGAAGTGCTTGCATACACACTGCCTCCACGGATCACATCACTAGCCGTGTTCCCAGCGGCTGGTAAACTCCCTCCCCCTGCTGCTACTGTTCCTCTTGACCCTTCATCTGTTCCTGCGCCTGCTCCTCCGCTCCACAACACTCCACCACCCCACACTCCACTCCCCCATACCCCACCTCCCCAGCCTGACCCAGGCCCAAATCCAAGAGAAAGGATGTTCATGAAGCTTGAGTTCTTTCGAATCGTGTCAGCTGCAACAGGAGCAGGGTCACCACCACTACCACCACCAGCAGCGGATATCACGGGTGGATAAGCCAGTGAGGCTTGAGAGGCAGAAGCAGAGTCAGCAGGGGCTGGGAAGGGGTGAGGGGCATCCCTTCGGCCCATAATGGCGCCTGATTTGTCGGTTGAGACAGCAGTGGGGTGGCGGAGAACGCCGGGGAGAGAGGAGAGGGAGGAGAGGCTGCGGAGATTTTCCCAGGAGGGAGCGTGGGGGAGGAAGTGGGGGCGGCGAAGAGTAGCTGGGACAGGCTGGACGTCGTGGAACTTGGTGAAGTCCTGCACAAGCAGTGGGGGACACCAATGTTGATTAAGTGGAATGGACAACAAATGAAGTGTTGCAAGCAGCAAGAAGGACCAGAAAATACTTCGTGCACATGTGTGCGAGCGTGTGTGGAGCGAACGAACGAGCGGGAGTGTAGATGCTTGGCGGATAGACAGAAAGGACAAACAGGAGATTGGGCTCAGAAAGGATGGAACAACAGATATGGCAACTCACCACGCGTCGGATTCCACTTGGTGACCGCCTGACCATGGTGCTGCCACAATGAATGAACCAGATGGGTACATAACAAGGATGAGCAAGCAAAGAAACAAACCCTCAGAAATTTCAAAGGAACTACAGAAGACATCTAATAAATCAAGAAAGAGTGATGAAGTGTGTGGCCGTAATAAAGAGGTAAGTGCTCCCAGCTCACGAGAAGCGGTGGTTGAACTTGATGTCACAAGGCGAGTAGGAATGTCGGGCTGAAGTCACAGGTGCACATGGGAGGAACAGCAAGGACACAGTGCAGTAGTTAACTTAACTGGGCAACCAGAAAAGTGCTTCAGGGTGTGAAGACAACAGCTGTCGGAAGAAGACAAGAAAGCTGTTCAGACGCATTTGCAAAAAAACTTAGCACAAGGTACTACACAGTGGGTCATAAGCACCTTGCAGCTTGGCTGATGTGGGAGCATCCACGCCCTCTATAAGCACAAGGAACTCAATGTCAGCGCGCTCCATCATCTACAATCACACCCATGTGAAACAGAACATGCGGGATGGAAATTTCGGGAGTGAACGAGAGTTGATGGAATAAAAGTGACATTTGAAGGCAATCTTGGACGACATGCTCCGAATTCATGTGGACCACAGGCAAGCAGAAAGGGCGAACATAGGATGTAGCAGCAGCAAAGACTTATTGAGGTGGGATGCGAAATGAGATGGGATACGGGACTTACAGCAAGGGACATGCCATGGAGTGGGCTGTGCTTCGTGATTGCATGAGTGATGATGCAGGGGAGAGCAAGAAAGACGAAGCCCCCTCCTAGGATCTGCGATGCAAGGACACGCGGGAAGGGCGGAAGACGACTTAAAAGGACGTTCGAACTGACAGGAACAACGTGCTACTATCACAAATCATGAAAACTGGCAGTCTCGCACCAAGAGACCCATGATGCCATTCAACCAAAACATGGGTCTACAGCAAGAATCTCACAGCTACGATGAGATGAGACTGACCGGAAGATTGGAGAACTTGAAGAGCGCCTCATTCTCTGCACTCATGATATTGTTGATTGCCACCAGCAGCTGTGCATGTGCCTGCAAGAGAAATATTGATGATCAACAATTAGCAGTCAGCAAGCCCAAACAACCTGATCGTGCTGCTCCAGTTGATGCTTACCTTCATGAGTTGGTGCTTACCTCTATGAGTTGGTGCTTACCTCTATGAGTTGGTGCTTACCTTCATGAGTTGGTGCTTTCCTCTATGAGTTGGTGCTTACCTCTATGAGTTGGTGCTTACCTTCATGAGTTGGTGCTTACCTCTATGAGTTGGTGCTTACCTCTATGAGTTGGTGCTTGCGAACATTAGCAACCCGAAATGAAAGGCGAGGCACTCCGTCTTCCTGCCATAGCGCAAATTGAAGCCAAAGCAAATACAGTAGCAGCAGAGTGTCAAGACAAGGAAAGGAAAGCCATGGCAGCCTCTGATGCACAGCAGCAGCAACGACCATCATCACCTCGTTAAGCACCATGCATTGGCTGAACACGAGTGATGAAGCTCGACGGGAGGGAAGGGCAAACCTGCACGGATGACAGACAGAGCAGACATATCACATCATTGTTGCCTGACAAGCGGTGAGCGTGTCTGTGATATGTATGTCAGCATATCAAATTGTATCTTGATTGAAACATCCTACTCAATCTCTCTACTAAACATGCGCTTCCTGCTCTCCACTTACCGTGTGTAAACAATCCCCAGCAAGGCATAGGCGACAATCAAAGCAGCAAGTGATTGAAGGGCGATAAGGAGGTTCAGTGTGAAGCAGTTAGGATCAGGAACCAGATCTCCCCCAAACCCTGCACACAAAAAGGATTCAGCGTAGCAGGAAGGAAAAGAACAGGAGGGTGGGTGAGGTCTGCCAAAGGCTGCAAGCAAAAGATAACACCATGTTGAAAATGGGAAGCAAGTGACACAACACTACTTACCAATGGTCATGGCGGACTGAACACTGATTGATTTCACAACACAGATTGTGTTTAAGGTGTACAGAATGTTGCCACAACAAGTCCACAGACAAGAACAAAGAGGATGTCAGTCACTTCAAAAAAAAAAAAAAAAAAAAACGCATTGCCAGCAGTTATTGTCTTACCTGAACCATAAAGCATGCCAGTAATTCTTAACCCCCGGAATGCAGTTATACTGCACAGACTGGTCAAATATATGCACATTCCACACATCCATGAAAACAGAATCAACCATGCTGCTACTTCAATGGAACCTGGGCACTACAAGCTATAAATTAATGCAAGAGAGAAATAACATCTCGTGATGTAATGTGAATGGACAGGTCCGAGAGCTGATGCCCACCTGATAGTAATAGGGGACAGCAAACCCTCCAAATAGCAGCGAGTAGCCAAGCAGAAGTAACGGGTAGAAGCGGACGTTAGGAATCTGCAAAGAACAGATACAATGACAGCCGTCACACGTCAGCTGAAAGAGTAACGGTTCAGTGAATTTTGGAGTGCATGATGCATCTACTACACAGTGTGATCCAGCTGATCCAGCAAAATCAGGAACATGCAGCAATCAGCAGCGAGCGACTGGGATAACCGCAGCATGAGAACTTCCGTACGTTGATCAGCGTGTGAAATAGATCACTCCAATACGCTGTCAGCTTGGGAACTCCACGCCGTTCCACATTCAAAGTACCCCTGTACGCACAAAGCCAAGGACGCCGTCAGAGCAACAAGAGGATTGTGAGGTGGTCTAGAGAGTGAGAGCGCGAAGCCAAGTGCCTGCCTCATAGAGAGCAGATTGAAGGAACTATTGACTCACGATGTATCGACCAACGGCAGCTTGGCTGGTTTCTGCTCCATGTCGCCTTGCGACCCACGCTTCCGCAAGAACGATCCATATGGAGTCCTTTGCTGGTTCGTCGCCTGCTTTGTGTGAACCGGAAGCAGCGGTTCCCTTTCATTCCAGCTGTTATCGCGTCGTAGATTGCTCCGACTACCGCTGCTACACGCAGACTGCGGACTGTCGACAGGGCTCCTACTGCCGGAGCTGCTTGGTCCAGGATCGTACGAAACCGCTATTTCGCCTTCGACACGCCGCTTTGGCATCGGATCGAAGCGACGAGCCGATGTAATAAGACCTCTTTAGGAGTGAGTAGCAAGGGTGGTATTCCAGGAAGAGCCTTGGAAACCGATGGTTCTACCAGTGAAGTGCTTCAAATACCCACGTGCTTGGAGAAATGGATCACGTGATCAGGAAGTCGCTAGTGGTGCAACCTCCAACTGGCGTTATGGTACTTCGTGAGTGTGGTGGAGCAGCTTGATAACAAAAAACGAAAATTTACACAACCTCATTCTCTGAATGGGCTGTGCAGCTGGCTGTTGCCTTATACCTTGTAAACTGCCGGCTTAGAGTGACACACTGAATGGAGACTGCGAATGAGGGAACATGAGGGAGTGACGTGGACTTCGAGTTGCTTGCGGTGGATGTGCCAGCTGTCCACAATTCCCCCTCATTTTGCCTCGGCAATCCCTGAAGCCTACATTTTGGTTGTGCGCCGAGCCTAGCCTACATTTTGGGGATTGCCGTGTCAGGGAGGCCTTCCTGTACGCCGAGCCTAGCAGGGAAATCAGTCACACAACCCAGTTCATTATTCCAAATTTCCCTTCCTTTCACATTCCGACTATCTCTCAAGCTTGGTGCTTGTGTGTTCCTCGTCGAAGTTGCAGCTAGTACTTAGGTGGCTATGGCTCTTCAGCCTGTGCACTCGCTTCGTGTGCACTCATCGCCGGGAGCCTCGCACCCTATCTGTTCCGCCGGAAGCCGACCACTTACCGATGTCGCACCTCAATCCACGCATTTCGTCAAGGCTAATAATGTGGCATTTATTGCAAGCTTACGAAGCCATGGATTTGCCTCCTCTTTCCTCCGTCCAGGGCCGTGCCTTCATCGTGTCGTCTCAGTAGCCTCTCACAGAAGGGCTCTAGTCACAGCTTCCTCGGCGGGTCAAAATGAGCCTGCACAACACGAGAGGAGTGGGTCCTTAGCGCGTGATGTTCCTTCTAGAGCACCACCAGGTCAAGAGCTGAAGGAGTCATTGGACTTGATGAAGCGTCGCTTAGGAGAATCCTTTTCAAAGCTGTTCGCAAACCCGTCGCATAGTATTCGCGAAGCATGCGACCAATTCGGACGGCTTGCAGCGTCTGTCGCGATTACTGCTACAGTCCTGTCATCTGTCATGCCGGCATACGCTGGTGCGGTGGTGGCACCGCCACGTAAGCTTATGGCGGATGAGCTGGCGACTGTGAAGCTGTTCAATGACAACACCGCTTCCGTCGTGTACATAACGAACCTCGCCACTAGGTACGTGCGTGCCCGCTCAATCGACGAGGATGTAAGGAGTCTGGAGAACTCACAATGAAACATAGGTCAGGAATTGGCATCGCATGGCAATTTGAACTTGTATCGCTGAACTTGTGCACGCGAACTGAGATGGTTCTCACCAAATGCATATCCGTGTCCATATCTCAATGATTATGCATGCACGTTCTGTTCCAATGCGTTCATGCTCGCGTGCTTGTATGTGTTGGTCTGTACATGACCATCTCTATGTGAGTGTGATGTGAGCATGTGCGTGTGACTGACTGTGCATGGGAAAATGTGTGTGTGTCATTGTATGCATGCGACTGTCGTTGCAGGAAGGACGCGTTCACACTGGATGTGATGCAGGTGCCTCAGGGGACAGGGTCAGGCTTCTTATGGGACACGGAAGGCCATGTGGTTACCAACTTCCACGTCATCAGGCGCGCCACTGACCTCAGGTATCGTCTGAGGACGGAAGTTATTCATGCAGATGCGTATGAAATGACTTGACAATCGTTGCACATCCAAGCTAGAATGTGGCAATGGATAGTGACAGAAAGACCTCCACAAGAGCACTATCCTTTTCGTTCCTCTCTCTCCGCTCCCAACATCGTCCCTAACAGAGTGACCTTATCGGACCAGTCAGTGTACGAGGCGACAGTGGTGGGAGCGGATCCCAACAAGGACGTGGCAGTGCTGCACATTGATGCGCCCCCTGAGAAGCTAAGACCGCTGCCTGTAGGCTCCTCCTCGGACCTGCTGGTCGGCCAGAAGGTCTTCGCCATCGGCAACCCCGTGAGTTCTGCTCCTCCCATCCGTCAACTTGTTGCCTACCCCTCTAGAAGTTGAACCCATCTTCCAACCTTCTTCGCATCTTTGTTCCTCCCTCTACTCTGTCCGCCTGTCATATTCTGTCAATGTGGCTTCTCCCCTTGATCTGCACACTGTATTTCCCTAATGAACTTACTTTGTCTCCCTATTCTCCTTTCCCTTTTCTTTTGTGCTTTTGTCATGCCTTAGTTCGGACTGGACCACACACTCACAACAGGAGTCATCAGGTACATCCTTTTCCACTCGTCTTCCTGTTTCCTTTCACTCTCACTTCCTCATCCATCTGCATATCCTCTGGCTATACACCCTCGTTACAACCATGCAATCGTAAACGTCTTCTCCCACGGGCCACCACTTTTTTCTCAGTGGATTGCAGCGTGAAATAACGTCAGTAACGCGGCGGCCCATTCAGGACGTGATTCAGACTGATGCTGCCATCAACCCTGGCAACAGCGGAGGGCCTCTCCTCGACTCCAGCGGCACCCTCATCGGCATCAACACCGCTATTTATTCGCCATCTGGCGCATCCTCAGGCGTTGGATTCGCTATCCCTGTAGACACAGTAAGTATTCTTGAGCCTTACGACACGAAATGTTCGAAGGTAGATTTCCCACACTCCATCTCACCCGCCTCTCAGGTCCCATCTTCCCCATGCTTGGGTCAGAAGCCGATTCTGTTTCACGCCAAACAGCCCATGTTCAGCGCACTCCTCTCACTACTCATGACACGTGCTTGGAATATCACTCACCATACTGACTCTTTCATGGCATGTGCATGGCAGGTGAGTGGCATCGTGGAGCAGATCATAGAGTACGGGCAGGTCACACGGCCGGCGCTCAACCTGGCCTTTGCACCGGAGCAGCTGGTGGATCAGCTCGGCATCTCGGGGGTGCTCGTGCTGGAAGTCAACCCCAACGGCGCCGCTGCCAAGGCTGTGAGCCCATGCATCGTTTTGCCCAAACACATCGCTAATAGAGAAGCTTTTTTCGTTCTTCGACTTGTATTCACGCAGCTCAGTTGAATCCAGCGCAGAGCTTGATATTGGCATTCAGGCTCACCAGGGCCATTGGTCAATCCCTTGCTGCAACTGCAGCCATTCAGCCCTCTCAATGACTCCTCTCGTGCACGTTGTGCTCAGGGCCTGCGCCCAACGTCACGAGACAGCTTTGGGCGGCTAATGCTGGGGGACATCATCACAGCTATTGACGGCAAGCCCATCTACTCCGGCTCGGACCTCTACAAGATCCTCGACAAGTGCCAAGTTGGCCAGACCGTGAGTGTGCTCATGTCACTACCTTCTGAGCATGTACTTGTGGTGACTGGATGTGTGGATGCGTGTGAAGCACTTGTACTTATGCCCTGGCAATGCATTTGTTACTGACATGAGCTACTGGCACTTGTGTCTGCGCAGGTTGATGTACAGCTGCTGAGAGGAAACGAGGAAGTTGTTGTGCCCATCACTCTGGACGGGCTCAGCGGGTGAACTGTTGCATGAGGAGATGGCGCACTCAGCTGTGCTAGCTGAGTTATTGATGTGCACTATCTATTGGTGCTGGACAAATTTATGTACAGCCGTTGAGAGGAGACAAACATTGTTGCGCCCATCACTCTGGACCGGCTTAGGAGGTTGATTGTTGCATGACAAGATGGTCTCAGCTGCGCTAGCTGAAATCACTAGGACTGGAGTACTCATGGAGTTAATTGCAAATTTATTATACGGTACATCTCAGCCATTTGGAGCAGACAGAGCAACAATCAACAACACAAAGGCAACACAACTTTTGCAGCTGAACCCCATTCCCCCGTGTATCGGCGCGCAGCGTGCTGTACGTGTTCTGCATGGAGGAGCCCACGTGGCTGGCGGCGTGCTTCCGCGAGTACAAGGGCGAGGTGCTGCGCTTCGACCGCTCGTGGCGCCAGACCGTTCTCAATAAGTGCGCCGCGGGAAACGGGGGAGGGGTAGGGGGGTGAAGGGAAGGAGGGAAGTTGGGGAATAAGCGCAGGGGTCGCTAAGGGGTCGAATTGGGGACGGGAGGAGGGTGGGGCGTGCGGGGTGGAAGCGAGTGTAGATATGGTGGTTGTAGGGAGCGGGGCGTTCGTAGAGCGACGGACGCATGGCTCCATCTCGTCTCTCATCTCATCTCTCCATCTCTCCATATCTGCATGCGTACGTGACTCCGCGCCGTGCCCCACTGCCGCCGATTGCTGCCTCGTGGGGTGTTTGACGGGGGTGGCACGACATTGGTATGGCATGGCATGGTGTTGCATGAATTGCACGACGTGATGCGCGGGAGTGGCATGGCATGACATGGCATGGTTGCATCGTTTGGTGTGATGTGATGCATGGCGTGCATGGGGTGACGTGGCAGGCTGTCGGAGGAGAAGGGAGTGGAGCGCCGTGATCTCAAGGAACCGCTTCATTTCAAAGGTACCGCGCTTGCGATGCACACATGCACACACACACACATGCACACACACACACATGCACACACACACACATGCTCACACACACACATGCTCACAAACATGCAGGGTCGAATTAGAACACACACACACACTTGCGCGCATACACGCATGCACGCACGCACGCATATTCGTGCACTGGAAGGCGGGCACTGCAAATTTAGCAGCCACACTATCCCCCTCCCATGCGTGCTGCCCTCAACCCCCTTCTTCTGTGTGCGTGTGCTCTTTCATCCCGCATGCGCATGCGTGCATGTGTGCGTGTGTGTGCGCAGACTTCCAGTCCATGTTTCTGTACCGGCGGTGGTACCGCTGTCACGTGAAGCTGGAAGCGTTCGAGGGCGACACGGGCCACGTGAATTGTGAATAAAGCGTATTCCATTTATAACCCGCCCCTTTTACCCCTTGCTCGCCCCCTCCGCGGTCCCCCGGTGGTGGCTGGAGGTGATGCAGCGGCCAGGGGAAACCATGTTTGACGCCCCTCCTTCCCTTCCCCCCCCTCCTCCTCTGTACAGTGGTGGCTGGAGGTGTACCCGCTGCTGCGCCCGGAGGACAAGCCCATGGAGGTCATGCAACGCCCAGGCGAGACCATCTACGTGCCGTCAGGGTGGTGGCACAGCGTGCTCAACCTCGACCTCACCGTCGCCGTCACGCAGAACTTCGCCTCTTCTGCCAACTTTGACTGTGTGTGCCTCGACATGGTGCCTGGACGGCACAGAGGCGTGGCGCGCGCTGGGAGACTGGCGATCGAGGCCGGGGAGAAGTGGGACGAGCGACTCAAGGCCATGTATGGGGAGGGCGAGGAGGAGGAGGATGAGGATGAGTGGGAGGAGGTGGAGGAAGGCGAGGAGGTGGAAGGGAGTGAGGAGGGGGAAGAGGAGGGGGGGGAAGGGGAGAGCGAGGGGGAGGAGGGGGAGGGGGGCACGTGGAATGGCATGCAGGGGCGGCTGTCAGCGTTGGCAGCGCAGCAGTTTCTGAGCGAGGGGGGCAACGAGGGGTGGTCCATGCCTGAGATCCGTATCCTGCTGCGCTCGCTCTGGCCCGCCCAGCCCCAACTTCAGGAGCGCATTTGGAAGGTGCGGCTCGCTGCACTGCCGTGCTGCCGTGCTGCCGTGCTGCCATGCTGCCATTCTGCCTGTGTGTCCATCTGTGCTCTCACCTCCTCTGTCCCGCTGCCCCACTCTCTACGCACGGATCCTATCATTCATCCCATGATCCTGGTTTGCCACTCGCCCTCCCTCCTCTGAGTGTGCAGAACGCGTGTCTGTGCATGGATGCTGCCACGTGGCACAGGCGTGTGGTCACAGTGTGCCAGGCACACGGCCTGCCCGCCCCCAAGGGCCTGGACGCCCTCCCCCTGGGCTCCGGATCCAATGCTGTGAGCCCACCCACTCCCCCTCTCTCTCGCCTCCTCCCTTCTCACTCACCTCTCTCTCCCTTCCCGCTCTCCCTTGTGCTTGCTCGCCCGCTCTCACATTCGTTCTCAGCCTTCTCTGCATGCACCATTCGTTCTCAGCCTTCTCTGCATGCACCATTCGTTCTCAGCCTTCTCTGCATGCACCATTCGTTCTCAGCCTTCTCTGCATGCACCATTGCAGCTCGCATCACCTCCCCCCCGCTCCCCCCTCGGTGCAGGTGTACATGGTGGGGCAGCACGTGGTGAAGCTGTATCTGCCCATGGGCTCTCACGATGAGTCCGCCGCCACCTTCCTCGCCAAGGAGGTACCCACCACACGCCCTGCCCTGCCCTGCCCTGCCCTGCCCTGCCCTGCCCTGCCCTGCCCTGCCCTGCCCTGCCCTGCCCTGCCCTGCCCTTCCACCGCCACCCGGGCTCATCACAACAACCATCTCTGCTGCTCTCAGCACCTCCCCACCTCCCTCTTCCCCCCCACAACACCCACCACCCCCCTTCCCTTCTTCCAGCTGGCGTTCTACCGCGAGCTCCACGCGTGCCAGTCGCCCCTGCTGCCCTGCATTCCGCCCCTCGTGGCCTCGGGCCTGCTCTTCTCATCCGGGGTTGTGGACAGCAGCGAGGAGGAGGAGACGGCGACGGGGCGGGGAGGGAGGGACGGGGCGGGGGCAAAGAATGACGTGCAGGCGAATGGAGTGGAGAGCAATGGGCGGAGCGCAGAGGCCGAGGGGGGAGAGGCTGGGGCGGAAGGGGCGGAAGGGGAGAAGCAGCAGGAGGGGTATCCGTTTGAGGTGAGTGTGGCGCCACAGGAGGAGCAGTTGGTGGCTGCAGAGTGGGACGGGCTGACAGAGCACCGGCCTGTGAACCCCTTCGAGGACACACAGGGGGCTGTGGCGCGAGGGCGAGTGGGGAAGAAGGGGAAGAGCGGCAAGGGGAAGGAGGAGGGGAGGGATAGGCGGACCCCGGCGTATCGACGGCGCGCCAAGAAGAAGGCTGAGGAGAGGCGGCGGCGGAGGGAGCTGGCTAAAGGGAAGAAGGGCAAGGACGGTGGGGTGGGGGTTGGGAAGGGAGAGAAGGGGGAAGCAGAGCAAGGGGAAGGAGAGGAATACGATGAGGATGAGGAGGAGGAAGAGGGGGAGGAGGAGGAGGGAGTGTGGCCGTACATCATCACAGGGCGCTGCCCTGGGTGGCAACTGGATGCTGTGTGAGTGGCGCACTGCTCATGCTCTCACACACTCACATCCTCACGCTCCAGACCTCTTCCAGTGAATACAGATCATCTCATGCACATTGCTGTCCCCATCACAGTCCCCCTCTTCGCCCATCCCATTCCTCCCTCTCCCCACCCACCTCTTTCCCTCCCCTCTCACCCCCTCATCCCTCCTGCCATTCACCCCAGTGCGGATCTAGCAACACCAGCAGACAGGCAGGCTCTGGCGGACTTCTTTGCGGCGTGCCTCTCGCACCTGCACTCGCTGCCGCTGCCCGCCTCCCCGCTCTCCCCGCCGCCCCGCAAGGCCAAGAGGAAGAGCAAGGAGGAGAAGACAGGGGCGCAGGGCGCAGCAGGGGAGGCGGTTCAAGCGAATGGGACTGCAAAGGAGGGGGTGGGGAACGGGGCGGTGGAGAGTGGTGGGAAGGAGGAGGAGCAGGAGGAGGAGGTGGTGGTGAGTGAGGAGTGGAGGCCGTTTGCAGAGATGATGCGCGAGCACAGCAAGTACATCAAGGAGCGACTCGAAGACATGTGAGTGCAGCACGGCGAGTGTGTGAGAGAGTGGGGCGCGTGTGTCACAGCCGGGCATCTGGGTGGCAGCAGGGTAATGTGAGAGACGAGATCGCAGCAGTGCCGGTGTCATTCCTTCGCCCTTCCCCCCTGCTTCCCATCCATCCCATGCCCAGCGCCCTCCATGCGTCTCACCCACCTCTCTCCCTTGCTGCACCCCTCTCACACCACAGGGGCAGCCTCCCCCCACACCTGGTGAAGCAGGCAGTGGCGTATCTGCCCAAGGACCCCGCACTGCTCTTCCAAGGCCTTGTCAGTCCCCTCCCCCTCCTGCCACACCCGCTTCCCCCTTCTCTCTGTTGTTGCTTTTTCCCAGCTGCTTGCTCCAACTAGCCCTGCATAAAGTCGTCAACGCACCTTACTCCTTGCTCATTCACTCTTCCTGTCTCTTTTGCTCCACCCTCGTTTCCTCTCCCCTATCTTAATACCGTGCATCCCTTGCATCGTACACCCCTCCTCCGGTCACAATCCTGAATCATCACGTGCCACGGCAGGAGCGCCCGTCATGGCTACACACAGACATCATGAGCGACAATGTGCTGCTGGCTGCCGCCTCGCCCGCTGCCACGCCCGTCATCGAGGAGTTTGTTGCGCGCGGCAAGGACAGCGCGGGGAAGAGCAACGGGGAGAAGCCAGGCGCAGGCGAGGGGGGTGGAGAGAAGGAGGTGGCAGAGGAGGGGGAGCGGGTGCTGCAGCCGTCTTCCATCATCGACTTTGGCACCCTCATTCTCGGTGCGCTGCTTCTTCTTGCCCGCTTTGCATTCCAGGTTTAGGCTACGTATGTTTGTTGGTGCTGAAACTCTCACGCATGTGTTGTGAACCATCAACCCTTGCATGCTGAACCCCCCACCCCTCCCCACACCCCCGTGTGTGTGGCACACCAGGTGACCCGCTGTACGATCTGGTGATGGTGCATGTGAGTGCACAGCGCTGCAACAAGGCCGACCTCGCCAGGCTGCTCGCCACCTACAAGCCGCCACGCCCAGTGCAAGGAGCGGGAACAAACTTCGCCCAGTCCTATCGTGCCATGTGAGTGGGTGGGGATAGGCTCAGCTGCAATTCTTGATAAGGTTGTAGCACAGATTCGTGCGCAGCCATCTTAACCATCTCCTTTCACCATCTTGTGCTGTTCACAGGTGCTACACTCTGCTGAACCAGAACGATGTGCTCAGTCGTGTGTTCCGCTATCGCAAGGAGCTCTCTGACGTGAAGACCTTGGAGGAAATCGCCACTGCAGTGTGGGGCCAGCTGGATGAGTTGGTTTAATGTTCTTATTGTACATCATTACATTTTACCATTCTGAGAGTATGTTGGTGGTGAAGCACATGAGATGGCACAGTGATCAAACCTGGCTGGTTCTAGTGTGTCTGGTATATATTTCCATGCTGGCCAGCAATAAGTACTTTGCAAGGGATTTACTATGTGACTTATTGATAGGATTTCGGAGGTGGCAACATACCTATATTTTAATCTCTGCCGAAGTGTACGCATTGCAAGCATTGCACTCTCTCTGCACTTCTGCTTCGCTTCAAAATCACTCTTCCAGAGACTCATGTCAAAATACATGGAGGAAACAAAAGCCAGCTGCACATTTCCCTGATCTGTTTCCTCGGTGGGCTGTGTGTTGCTCCGGCGTGGGCCTGTAACGCCAGCTGCATGGGTGGCCCTGGCGTGGCTCTACAGAACACGTTGTTCTCTGTTTCTATCTCGTGTTCTGCCGCTGCCCGCTGTCCCCACTTGCACCCACTACCTCCACCATGGCTAGCCTTGCCCTTGTGCTCGCACACACGTCGCAGCCCTCGCCAGTGGACCACTGCCCGTCCTCCGCGCGGTCGATGATACGATATTTGCCACCGCCTCTCGTGCCGCGAACTCGTCATTCACGGAATAAGCAGGATACGCAGAATTCGATAATAGAAAGGCTCGGAGGAGCTTAGCCGCCAGAGAACGAGGATCGCCGTGTGTGCTACAGTGCAGCGCCACACCCACAGCTAACTCGCCATGGTCTCTCGCTCCGCGTATAACAATGTTAATCGCTCGGCCTCGTGCCTACGCTAACACGCTTTAAGCTTGCCCACGTTGGACTCGACAAGCCCAGCCTTCCAGCCGCCAAGCCGCCTAGTACCGTCTGCTTCCCAGCTCGACGTAGCACAACACGCGCGAAGCCTCCCGCGCCATACGCCGCAAACCGCGCTCCCAACGCGTCACACTTGATCTGCTTCTTACCGACCTCCCGGGCCCATCGCGCGCCACCGTCGCGAGACTGCGGCACCGTCGCGAGTCTGCGGCACCGTCGCGAGGCGTGTAACACCGCGCCTGCCGCATGGCCGCGTCCGCATCCACTGAAGCCCTTCCGCCAGATGCGCACCTCGTGGAGGCCGCTGAATGCGGGGACGAATCGTTGTTGCGCAGAGGGAAATGGACATGTGGCTTGAATGGTAGCTGCTTTCCAGTGTGTGTCGCTCGGCGCCCTCGCAACTTTCCGTTCAGTCCGCCTCTTGATACCTCGCTCGTTGCGCAACCGCCAGAGGAGGGGTTTGGACAGGGAGACGAAGGAAGCTGGAGTGGAGAGGGAAAGGCAGATGAGGCGGGAAAGTGTGGACTGATAGATGTGCCAGACGACAAGGTCGTTGAGAGCACACACGCCACAGAAGATGTGAGCAGACTGATGGATGCTACAGAGACGCCAAGCGCAGCATCATGCGATTTGAGCAGTGCAAAGGTGACACAGGAGCAAAGGTCGGAAGGCGTGCAGCAGGCGACTCAGGAGCCGTTGAGCAGGCCTGTTATCCCAAAGAGTATCACGAACCCCAGTAGCGCGGCCCACTTCGCCCTGGGTGCACCTCTCTCGTGGGCTGTGCTGCCCGACTCCGTCTCCAGCTTCCTCTACAGCCCCACCCCTCTGCAGCACAGCGGAAGCGACGCAGCAATCCTACTCGCATCTGACCCAACTTCTCATGCTGTTGCACCGCTCCCTGCTGCTGTGAGCCCTTATGGATTGAGTCTTCCAGCCATCCAGGATACAGCGGAAGGGGAGGTGGCAGCGGCACAAGCGAGGCAGGATGCTGAGGTCAGAGGTAGCAGGCGCCCCGCTGCTATCTCACACCAGTTGTTGAAGCACCCAGAGGAGGTGGAGGAGGGCGAGTGCGATGGCAGTGGGCTGTGGAGCACAAGGTCTGAACGCCTCTACCCGCCCGCATGGGCAAGGTCACCGTTGAGGACGGGTGGAACGAGGCATGAGGAGCACGGGGAAGTGGCGCGGGCGAAAGCAAGAAGAGCACGAGGTGAGGGTGGTTCGCAGGCCGAGACGGGGATGCTGAAGATGCACACAGTGAATGTGGCGATCCTTGCACGGGAAGCCAACGCCAGACAGGAGAGGCTCGCAGAGGCGCTCAGAGGGGGTGGAGTGAGGCAGTCAAAGCCCTCTGGAGCAGGTGCTGCGGAGAAGGCAGAGGAAGGGACGTGCAAGATGGAAGCTGCAGGGGGCAGGCAGAAGCACAGGCATAGAAGGGGAGGGTCGGTGGATCTGGATGCGCGGACTCCTCTGAAGGAGCGAACGCCGCGAAACCAGACGATCCAAGGCGGGAAATGCAACTTCGTGGAAGATGAGTTTATGGGGATAGTGGAGGAGTTCTTGAATAGGCCCAAGGCTAAAACCGTGCATCCAAAAGGTACATATGCGACATCGCCAACGGTTCGAACTGTCGCATCACTTTTCCCTCCAAGCAACGGTTCACATTGTGAACATTCGGCAGTTCGAAATGCAAACGGACGGAAGAACAAAGCTGACACGGGATTGGCGCGCGATGTATCAGAAAAAACATCGAGTCGCACCAACAATTTACTAGAGTACGCGACGCCTGTTTCAACAGGGTTACGACGGTACAGTACCTCTCGCGAGTCTACAGTAAATCGGCAGTTTGCGAAGTTGAGAAAAGTGACGTCTTTGCATTCGGACGGTTCTGAAGTTTCGAAATTTCAAAACGGACTGTCCAGTACCTGCTATTGGGACCGTCCGATTCGATACAAGTGGACAGTCCGAAAAAACATGAAAAATCAAAAAAGAGACACGCCCTTAGGAGGGGGAAAGATTAGGGGTGAATCTTGGGCGTGGTGAAAGGCAAGGACGGGGGAAAGGAAAGGATGATCGGATGGGGGACAGACTGGGGGAAGTTGGGGAGAATTCCTGGGCTTGATTTATCCTGCTAGCTTGGTTTCCTACTTTCGTGTTGGGCTACATTCACTGCTACCCTTCCCTTCTCTTCAGCGTCTCTCGTTGCTCGCTTTCAGCACGCCCTCCGACACCTCAATTTTCATGTTCATAAGTGCTCGATTTAGTGCTCCTAAAGTAGCCTTGTGTTTCACTTTCTCCCACTCCCTCTTATTCGCACTCCAGCCTTCCCAGGGATGGAGAGCTGGCGCTGCTTCTTCCCCCAGTATGCTCTCTCCTTCGTCAAATCGCCAATCTTCGTCCTCCAATCGCTCTTCGACGTGCGAGCCCTCGCTCTCGGTAACCAGCTCCCGCCAAACATCGGCCAGGCTACTGCTTGCGTAGATGACATACTCAAAGCCGCTCCGGCGGTACAGGCGTTTCGCCCGCGGCTGATGCGGTGGCAGATCCCGAGGCATCGCTTCCGTTCATCGCGATTCAGGCTTTACAGAAGTGGCTAGATCCGCGCTTTCACCGAACAAACTCAGGAGGAAGATGAAATGTTCAAAATGTGCGACAATGCACGGAATAGGCGTGAGGAGGACTACTGAGCAGAAATGCTGAAGAAATACAGCAGCCTTGGGATTGGAATTTGGGACAAATATGTATCCAATCTGCTGCCTTGCGCGAGCGGATGGATGTGTCGCCTTGTATTGGGGCGAGGAGTAGCCTAGGGGGTACAGAACGCATGACGAAAATATCCCAAAGGGGGGCACTGTGAATCTTGACGGACAGGTGGCGAGCCCTCATTTGTGCTCTGCGATGTCACCGACAAAGAAAAGCTCAAAATCATCGAGATGTAGGCATGTACATTGCACTGTCAAAATTGGCGCTACGTCTACAAAAACAAAATACCATCTGAATCTATCTTCCTATATATATCATCTCCTAAATAGCTACAGAGAGAACTAGCTAGCTGAATTATTTCTAGATGTCTTATGACGCAGCGGAACTCCAAAAAGGCGAGGGACTTCATGCGAGCTTATGTCATCCTCCTCATCTCTCCTGTCCCCATGTATCTGCTTGTTATCCTCAACTTAACGATCAACACCTCTATCATAGAAACCTAATCCGTCGTGGGGATGACCATGACCAACAGGCGCATATTGAGTGTTGTGGTGGTGGTTAGCCGGGCCAGATGCAGGGCGCAGAAAAGGCATAGAGGAGGAGACGTTAGATGGGGATTCCTGGTTGAGTGCAGTTGCTGCAGTGTCAGGAACTGTCCTTCCTAGTGGTCCGCTGGCTATGGGGGGATCTCTAGCATGCACCCTCGTGGCCGTGGAGAGAGATGCGGTGCCGGCAGCAGGGCCGGTGGCGGACAAGTGTTGTCGCAGGGCCAGTTGAATCGCCTCTAGAGTGTGTCCTGCCACTGACCCCCCAGGCGAAGCCAAACCTGCACCCACTGCAGGTGCAGATGCTGAGTGCACTGCTGCCACGTGGTGTGCTGCCATTGGCGCAGACGTCTGAAGGGGGTGGGAGCGGGGCAGCAGGCGCATGACATGGTCCATGAGGCTGCCTGGCGGCCCTGCATGCTCGCCAGTCTGGGCTGCAGGCACTGCTTGGCCCCCATACTGTGTCCCTGTGACAGATAAGCGTGCGGCAGATACAGCCTGCTCCAGGTGCAACCTGTCAAGGTGAGCTTGCATGAGGTGGGCGGACGGGGAGAGCATGGCGCGAGGCGGAGGCAGAGCAGAGCCATCCACGCCTGTCCGGGGAGAGGGCTCGCAAGGGGAACATGCAGACGACCCTGAGGCTGATGACGGCAGGCCGGGTGCGTGGGCGGAAGGTGCGTGGGTAGGTGCATGGCCGGCAGGTGCGTGGCCGGCAGGTGCGTGGCCGGCAGGTGCGTGGCCGGCAGGTGCGTGGCTGGCAGGTGCATGGCCGGCAGGTGCGTGGCCGGCAGGTGCGTGGGCGACAGGTGAGTAGCCAGCAGGTGCGGCAGTTGCGTGGGCAGCAGGTGGCAAGGCACTGTGAGCAGTGAGAGCTAGGGGGCGGAGGGATGGTGAGGGGAGTCGCCCGGCCGCAGCATCATGCGGCAGCCGCCTCTTCATTCCGCTCTGCGCCCGCTCTGCTGGTGCGGGGTCGCCTTGCAGCGGCGAGGGAAGCGGTGGTGAGGGGGCAGCGATCAGTGGCTGGGCGGGAGAGGGGGCGCGAGGAAACTGCTGCGGTGCTCCTGGCGCGACCACCGCACCTGCTCCGACGCATGCGCTCTCTCTGCTCGTGGGCTGAGGGCGCGGTGCCAGTGTGCTGCGCACTGCCGCTGGGTTGGAGGCGCAGTGCGTCTGGCTTTGATGTCGCAGTGGCGGCATCAGCACAAATGGCAGTGCTTTGTGCTGCGCTCGGGGCACCGGAGCTGCCGCGTGCTGCGCTTGGGGCACTGGCGGTGCCATGTGCTGCGCCTGGAAAATCGGGGGTGGCATGGAAGGGAGCGAGTGGAAGGCATGTGCGGCGTGCTGTGGTGGTAAGGCGGGCAAGGCGGGGACTGCTGTGCTGGCAGGATGCAGAGCGGGGCGCACAGGCGCCATGGCCATAGGCAGTGTGTGAGGGAGGCGGGGGCGCAGAGGCAAGGCAGGGCTGCTGCTGCCGCTGGCAATGCCATGAAGGTCCGGTTCTCGCGTCTCCCTCTTCGCCATTCCCCCCCGTGCTCCGCCCGTCCGCGCCCTCACCGTGCTCTGTCGCTTGCTGCTGTTGCTGCTGCTGCCGTGGGGGATCCTCGTGGCAGCCGGCGGGATGCGAGGGGCGCCTCGGCCGGGTGCGATCTGGCGAAGGGCGCGGCGGGAGAAGGCGGAGTGAGTGGCGCTGGCGGACTGAGGTGATAGAGGCTTCGCTTGAGGGAAGAGCGCGAGGGACGCTGAAACGACAAACAACACGCGGCATGGGAGGGAGGCGAGTTTCGTCGTTGTCCGACAACGCCGCGCTCCCAAGCAGCGGGAGACCGGTGCTGAATTACCCCTGCACTCGTCGGCATACGAAGGGGAACAGACGCGCTTATCAAATGGACGCAACGGCGCTTGCGCAGGAACGGAAAGTACCTTCCACGCACGGAAGGAGGAGACGGCGCCGCTCGCCTTGCTGTGCCACAGGCTGTTTCGGAGACGGCGCTGGAAGCGTGGAGGCTGCGGGGGAGGCGGATGAGGCGGGGTCCCAGCGGCCGTGAGCGAGGAAGTGGCGGTCCTCGCGCTCCGTGCGGCCAATCACCGCCTCCAACGCCGCCGTCAGCCGCGGCGCTAGCGTGCGCTGCTCCGAATACTCCTTCTGTGAGACCACACGGAGATAAGAAGCACCCATTATCATGCGCACACCACGACCCGTGCACAGCAAGCCACTTGACATGTGTCAAAAGGCCGCTTCAATGCGTGCGGTGAGCAAAGCCAGCTCAATTAACGTGTTTGTTTTCAAATAGATGCACTGAATGCGGGCTGTGAGAGAGAGCGTACTAGCGAGGAGGCGCGGCAGTAGAGTGTGTCTTCGAGTCGGACCACCACGCTGGGCAGCGCCGCCCGCCACACCGCGCTGCTCACTGTCGCCTCCTTGTGGATCGTTGCCGCGTGCCTGCCAGCACACGGAGCCACTGCCGTGGTTAGAACACGAATAATCGACCCGTGTTTAATGCGAAAAAGAGAGGGCATCAGAAAGGTGCACGGATGCTGCTTTTCTCGTGAGGAAGCTTCGGAAAACGTGCTTCAAGGTGGAGCCTTAAGCGACGTGATAGACGCATTTGTAGAACACAATGGAGCGGTTGAGCGGTTGTCGTGGGCCGTACTCAATGATTCGCTTGATGACTTCCACTCGCGCGGGCCCGTCGCTGTCGCAATGCCACGGCTTCATCCATGCGCTTCACGCGCTCTCCGCCTCCACTGGCAGGCGTCTACGGAGAGAGATCCTGATGGCTGCTGCATCCCTATGTCGAAAGTCCCTAGAACGCTGTTACTAAAGTAAATAGCGCTTGCAGGCAGATTCAGAAAAACTATTTTGCACGCTCAAGCTAAATGCTGCTTCGAGTTCCGACTTGAAGTTAAACTGGTCCCCGCAGCCAAACATTCCACCAAGTTCTGGGAGAGTGATAAAAGATATATGAACAGCGAAGTCCAGTTGCTCTTAGCCACGGATGCATCGCACGAATGCTACCAACACGCTGCTGACACTGCAAGCTGAGGTTGAGACAGACTGGTTGTGCCTGCACCAGGCGAGCAGGCCAAGCACGTGAGGTTGCTGTAGCGCAAGAAAGATCATAGGCAAGGCAGGCACACAAGACTGGGCTGCAAGAATTGGAGCGGATGGGGGATGGCAGCCGAATCGCAAATTTGTGAGGGCTGTGGGCTGTGTGCGTGGTGCGGTTCGGATGACGTGGAGGCAATGTTTCTTCCGCGACAGGCACCAGAATCACGCTGTAAGAAATGAATGATTACGGGCAGCCCTTGCTTCACGGAGATCCCTACGATCCGCCAGCGGGACACTGGAGACAGATGTTAGTGGTTAGGGCCCCTCCAAAGCATTCATCACTCGCGCAGGTGATATCTTCGGCAATTCTTGACATGGCTTCCAGGTATTGGCTCTGAACACAGCAAGCTGAGAATAATAATTCGTTTGTTGTGGCTTCCACAAAAACCAGCGGATGAGCGTTGACGAGGTCAGGCGAGGTGAGGTGTCACCGTACAATACAATCGGACTGCCCTTCAATGACTGGCCCGGCTGAAATGAGCCGTGTTTCATTGGCTGGACAACGAGATTCCGTAATTTCACTGAGTGCAATTTTCCAAGAACACTGGAAAGCCACTGTGCAACTGAGTGCAGTCGTCACTGGGGAGTGGAAGGAATCACAACTTGCGATCCGACTTCCCAGGACGAGGACGAAAAGAACTCTGGCTTCGCTCACAATTGTTTGGCTTTTGTGGCCGAAGCCCCCCTTTGTTTCGTCACTTGGCATTTCCAGGTTCCTTCCTCATAATATCAGCAGCCCGCATCACTGTAAAATTAGTTGGGTGCAACACGCGTGCTGCTGACCAGGGTCTACGTAATAATAATACAACCCTTCGTAAGAAAGTTATTTTTTCAGCGAAGTCCGGAATTTACCGGGTACGTTTGTCAGCCCTGAGGAGCTCAGGATTATGTATGCAGGACCTGGGCATTTTCGGAAGGATATCAAGACCCACAATTCCAAGCAGGGTTTGCTCCTTCGTTCCCCTCCCCTAATTCCCCAGCTCCTATAGAAGGGACAACCCAGCAGAAGGCCAGTCAATTCTCGTCGCTAGCGGGCCCACCTTTCGCGACGTTTCTGGGCGTGGCGAAATTGAATAGACAGTTACGCTGTTTCACAGCACTCGCGAGACTGGAGTTGTCGTGCATCTGGGGGTCATTCACATTTTCTAACCGCCATCTCCATCACGTCTTGGAAATGTCAACCCTACTTCATCCCACCTCGTCTTTCTACTATCCCCGCGTCGCCTTCACCAGGCTCCTCTCTATCTCTAGTAGCTTTCGTTCCCGGAGCGACTTCCAGCCTTCCATATTGTTGTCCGCTCCTTGCGCATCCGGAGGATTCTACCGTCGCGGGCATCCCTCACCTAGCAAAACTTGTTTCCGCAAGGGCTCGGTGATTGATCGTTTCGCGTCGTCCGCACAACCCTCCGCGCAATTTCCGGAACTCGATTCGTCTGCGAGCCGCATCCTCGCACGCGGCATGACTGAGCACGCGTCCACTCCGGCGGAAGGGGCAGCGGACGCCGCGTCCGCGCCTGGCGCGCAGGCAGAGACACTCGCGTTCGACGCGCCAAAGACCATTCCGGGGATGATGGAGGTGCGCCAGCTGCTGGCAGACGACCCTGTCGGTGAGCCTCTCTCCAATTCATGGCGCGAACGCACGGGGACTGGGATTGTGCGAGGACTGGGATTCCCGGCTGCCGCGGGGACTGGGACTGTGCGATCAGTGGTGCATCGCACGGGCGCAATGATTTCTGTCCGCCCTGCCTGCGTCCGTGTCAGCGCGTCTGTGTTTGCCCCCGATCATTCGCACCCCATCATTCGCACCCCAAGGCGCGCCAATTCATTCTGTGGAAATTGCTTATACGGTACGCTGGCGCTGGCGTGGTTGATTGCCCCTCCATCCTCGCCTCTCGCTCCACTCCACCCACCACGCCCAATCGCCTCCACTCGCCGCTCTCTATCCCTCCGCATCCCTCGGGGAATTCCTAACCCTATTTTTCATCCCTCACCCCACACCGGGGCGCCAGGCGGGTGGGACAAGGCGTGGCAGGCGAGCACGACGCCGTGGGACCTGGGCGGCGTGACGCCGGCTGTAGCAGCGCTCGTGGCGGCGCCAGAGGGGTCGCCGCTGCACCTGCCGCCCTCCATCCGCCGCGTGCTCGTCCCCGGCTGTGGCTCTGTGAGTGCCTTGCGGGCGGCTGTTGCACTGGAATGCACAGTGGGTGTTTTATGGGAGATGTGAACCGGGCTGTAGCAAGAGGGGGGATAGTCCAATGCATGTGCGATGATTGCTCTTTGGCCGATTGTCTAAAATGCCCTTGGCTCAGCACCTCATGCTATCACGTGGGTCCATGTCATGGCATGGCATCTGGGGGGTTCTGGATACCATGGCACGGCTTGGATGCCATGGCATGGCATGATGGCATGGCATGGCATGGCATGGCATGGTATGGCAGGGCTATGACGTGGAGGCGTTTGCATCGAATGGCAGGGAGGGGACGGGCCTTGACATCGCTGCATCCGCTGTGGCGCACGCAGAGAAGGTGGGCGCACGCAGAGAAGGTGGGCGCACGCAGAGAAGGTGGGCGCACGCAGAGAAGGTGGGCGCCCGTGACATGGCCGCGCAAGAACTCACTCCACCCATGTCGCTTGATCCCTGCCGCCCATCCTCTTGCTGGCTCCGCTGCCCTCCCCTGCTGGTCAAATTCTACCCGCGTAACCTTCTCAAACTTCTCAACCCTTTCCACACTCTTTCCCCTCCGCTTCTCATCCCTTTCAACTCTCTTTCGCCCCTACTTCTCATCCCTTTCAACACTCTTTCCACCCTGCTTCTCACACCTTTCAACAGTCTTCCCCCCTTTCTTCTCACCCCTGTCAACACTCAACCTGCTGCTGCTCACAGCGAGTGGAGGGGGCATCCAACAGGGCGGCGATGGCATTTGAGTGTGCCGACTTCTTTGAGTACAGCGCACCACAGCCCTTCGATGCCGTCTTTGATTATACGTGAGCCCCGCCCCTCTTCCTCTCACCCCTCGCATGCCAAACACCTGCTGCCACACCTGCTGCCACACCTGCTTATCCTCCGCTGCTGCGCTCCGTTCCCCTGTGGTGCGCCGCGCATCTCAATCGCTCCCGTATTTCTCGCATGCCATTCGCCTTCCCCACCTTCGCTGAGAGCACATCCCTATCCTCGCCGCCTTTCCCGCATCCACGCCCTGTCCATGCCCACATGCCCTATCGCTCCTGCCCTGGTCCTCATGCCCTTGCATCCCCATCCCTCCATGCCCCCATGCACGTCCCCACGGCCCCCTCCGCGTGCAGCTTCTTCTGTGCGCTGGCGCCATCGCTGAGGGGCAAGTGGGCGGCCAAGACAGCGGAGCTGCTCGCACCACACGGGGTGCTCTTCACGCTTATGTTCCCCGTGCGTATCCATTGCACCCTCTCATGTTCCCCGTGCGTATCTCTGCACCCTCTCGCCATGTGTATCCATGCATGCCTGTCACTGAATGTTCATGTGTGCCCTCGTGTTACCTGCTGCACGCATGAATGCACCCTCGTTTGTTCACTAATCACTGCTGTGTGCTCACGGCGCACGGCTGTCTGTGTGTCTGTCCCTCGCTGCGTGCCCCTCGCCTGCAGATCGATGGACACGAGGGCGGCCCGCCGTATGCTGTCTCCAAGGACAGGTGCGCCCCTCCTGTCCCCGTGTCCTCCCTCTCCCCTCTCCCGCCTCTCTTCCCTGTCCACCCTTTCCCTACTCTCTCCCTTTCCCCCCTGTTCTACCTGTCCCCCTTGTTCCCCCGTGTCCCCCCTGCTCCGCCTGGTCCGCTTGCCACATCCACTGTTGTCCCCCCTCCCCCCTGCTCCTCCTGCGCGCCCCTATGCAGCCCCTGCTGTAATCGCCATTTCTTTCTCCTCTTCCCTTCCTGCCCCTCCCATCCCTCGCCTTCCCATCCCTGGCCTCCGCGCCCCTGTTCCCCACCTCCCTACACACCTTGCTGCTCCCCCACCTCCCCCACTCGCCACCACCACCAACTCCTCATGCCGCCACCACCCTCCTCCCCTCCCCCCTGCCCCCCCCACGTGCGGCCCGGGCAGCTATGCGGAAGTGCTGCAGCCGCTGGGGTTCACGGCAGAGGATCTGCCGACAGCCAGTGTGCCACCCAGAGAGGTATGTCTGGCGCACTGCATGTGCACGAGTGCATGGATCACCATTGCTCTGCGAGGTGCTCGGTCCATCTTTGGCTCATTGCTTCTGTGCCCCACCTGCCTCTGTGTGTGTGGTTGTGTCTGTGTTCGTGCGTGCAAGCGTGTGTGTTCGTGAGGGAGGGGAGGTGGGTGTGGGTGTGTGTGTGGGTGTGGGTGTGGTTGTGAGGGGGTACGGGTGGGTGCATGGTGGTCGCGTGGGTGCGTGTGTGTGATGGTGGGGGCGTGCAGGGCAGGGAGCAGTTGGCCAAGTGGGTGCGATCAGCTGCTGCATCCAAAGTGTGACGAGGGCATGGATGACAAGAGGTCAACGGCAGACATGATAAAAATTACCAACCATCAGGAAATAAAAGAACAAGCAAATCATTGTTGAAATGGCCTTAAAAGTGGCATTTATATCGCAATTAAAAGTGTAAGGAAAATTTCCCTTTCCTTTCTTCGCGTCCCGGCTCAGCGCGTACACCACTGTAGCACCTCAGTCAGCACCGTTACCACTCGCAACCCTCGCAACGACAATCCTCCCGCCACCTTCGCACGTCGCACCCCGACCTCACGGCTCGGCGGGTAACCTGCGCTCCGGGCCTCCGCCTCGACATTTTCCCAACCTCAGCTCCAGGCCCGTCGCGCGTCACCCACAGTTCATTACCGTTACCACTATAGTTTCGCTATATATTCTCCCCTCATGCCTTCGCTCATTGTACCTTTGCTTCGATAGTGCAATTCTCGCTCGTTCACTCAATTGCACTCGTAACACTTGGTATTCAGAGCCTACGATCTCTTCTCGGACCGCACCCACACCTTCGCTTCCCCACTATCTCATTTTTTTGGGGAGGGTAGATGTCTCTCAGCGACACAGCACCGCCGCTCGTAGTGCTCTCTCGTAAGCACGCACGGCCACGACAGAGGCTCTCGCTGAGCTTGCCCGACACCCCAGCCATGGCCGAATTCACTCTCGCGACAGTGACGCAGGAGCAACTCGACCGACTCGTGCGCCAAGTTGAGGAGTCGGCGCTCGAAATTGCGACGCTCACGGCGGAACGTGACTCCGCGCGTCAGCAATCCACGGTGAATACTCCAGCGTCACCATACGCACCTGCAAATGCACCTGCACAATCGGAGGAGCCGATCATCATTTCATCAGACAAACCGACACAGAATGACAGCGTGGGACAGCGCTCACGCGCAGCCAGTGATGGCGCCGCCCACTCAATGCCTGGCATGGAGAGGAACAGAGTCGCGCCAAGCCCGTGGGAGCCTCGCGAAGCCCGTCGGCACGTGGAATTTGCGGCGACAAGTGGCGACCACGCCATCATGGCGCCAATGCCACTCAAGCCGCAACGCCCACCCTGTTTCGACCCGAGCCAGCGTGGAGGTCCGACAGTTCAGTCGTGGGTCTTCACGATGAACGTATTTTTCGACGCAAACTACGTCGAGTCGGACGCAGCGAAGATCAGATATGCTGTCTCACTGCTGAGGGGCCCCGCCATGGACTGGTGGCGAGTCATCGTGACGTCGCCACGCGCCTACGAGCCACCGTCGCAAGAGGAAGGGCCCGCGGGTCCAGCCGTCACCTGGAGTTCATTCTGTGAAACCGCCCAGTACAGCACGTGGGATGCGTGGTGCGCAGGGCTTCGGGCGCGCTTCGAGCCAATCGCAGCTTCTATTTCGGCGCGTCAGAAACTGCGTACTTGGCGGCAGCTCGGGTCGGTTCAAGACTATACGAGTGGTTTTCTCGCACTATGCGATCAAGTCGGCTACATGCACGAAGCGGAGCGGGTGGACCGTTACGTCAGAGGGCTGAAGCCGGACATCTCGCACGAAATTATGCTACGCGGACTCTCGAATTTCAACGAGATTCTCGAGCTCGCCGAGAAAATCGACATTTTGCGCCGTCCGAGACCGGGGTCCTACTACAGACATCGCCCTCGGGGACCGATCGAGCACGCCACCGTACATGTCGTTGCGACAAATGCAGCTGCCGCGCCGTTGAAGGGGCGCTGCTTTGCTTGCAATAGGCCGAGCCATCGCAAGAGTGAGTGCCCAGAGGAGTTGAGGTGTTGTGGAGTAGAGCAGGGGAGGGAGTCTCCAAGGCAGGGAAACACCAACAGTCAGTAGGAATTGGGCCAACTACTGACGAGACTGCCTGCTCGCCCAACCCCACCGACCCTCACCGAGTCACCGTACTGATTCACGCCATCGATCGGGCTCGGACGAATAAGGAGGGTACAGCGCCGGATTGCCCAGTACTGATCCACGGGAAAATACAGGGAGCAGCAGTGAAGATTTTTATCGACGGAGGAGCAAGTCACGGTTTAGTTAATACTGCAACCGCACGAAATCTGCAACTGACACTTAGCCGGTGTTGACCAGAGATAGATGCACGGTTAGTTGACGGCACGCCACTGACCATACGGGAAAA